GGAAGTGAGGCTTATGTACGTACACCACATCTCTGCCCAGATGGAATGTGACTTTTTGAACTGTACCTCACTGTAGATATATTGACTTTCTTATAAGAAAAGAAATGCTTAATCCACGGATAAGAACAATTTTCCTGAGAGATGGTCTTAGCAACCAATCTCATGGAGCCAAGGAGCAACAGTTGCAGCACCAATGACATGTCTTGCAAAACAGCCTGTGTTATTTTTCTCTTTTTGTCTTTGTAAACCTTTGCTTTCTTTATCTTCTCCAGAGCACATTTGGGGTTTCTGCCTAAATCTATGACTCCTGAATTGCAATTCTAATTGTCCAAATAAATGTCTGTTGTTTAAATTACAGTGACTTTTCCTTGGTTAACAAGATATAGAAGACCAGCATGATTTCATTGACATTTATAGGACATCCACTTAGCAGAAAACACATGCTTTTCAAATACACAGGAACATTTACCAAGATAAGTCATTTCTAGACTGTAAAATAAATCTCAACAAATATTAAGGATTGAGATCATGCAAAGTATGTTGTCTGAACACAGTGGAAGTGTCCAGTGACAAAAATAATATAATTTAGTAATGAGTTTGAGGTCCTTTATTCAATGGATTGGGAGTACAGTGCCTCAAGCATGGAGCACTATTGCCAAGGGATTTGGGACAAGAGCAAGTTTATAGATGTCAGAAGAGGCAACTTGGAAACAGAGCATGATTGGCTAGGAGATGGGAATTCCTTACAGGCTTGCAGGTCCTTTTCCAGCCCAGGAAGTGGGAGGACAGAGAGGTCTGGGCAGCTGCTGCTGCCAGAAGCCAAATTGAGGCTCCCTTTCTCTCCCTCCATCCTCCATGGGGTGGGGGAAGGCCGTGCCCGCAGCCATGTTTGTACCTTATGATCTCTGCACCTCAGTAACTGGACCTGAGGAACAGAGGACCACTCTGGACTCATCAGAATCTCTATCCAAGGACTGAGTGTCTGGTCCCAGTTTCTGTGCACTGCTGGAGTTGACTTGAGGTAGACTCAGGCTCTGCATGTGGAGGGCAGAAAACCCCAGACTCAAGAGAAGCATGAATCGTGTGTGCAGAGAGAGGTGGAGATGCAAGACCACCTGGTCCCATGGGGGAAGCAGGAACGGGAGACCAGTGGCCCTCTGCCCTGCCTGGGAGACGTCTCACATGTGGAAGCACAGTGGCCCTTCTTCCTCAAGCCAATTTGAAGTGGGTTTCCCTTGTTTGCAACGCACAGAGATTAAACTAGAACAAACCTGGATCACTCAGCTGCAAGGAACAGAAATCCATGCAAAGAATTCCAAGTGGGAGGCCAAGGAGGTGCTCAGGGAAGCCAGCTGAGACGAGAAAGTCGTCAGGCAGCTCCTGTCTTCACTCTCTCCCTCTCTCAGGGCTGTGTGTACACTGTTCTCTCCTCCCCCCACCCCCCACAACTGCTCCATTTGTCCCTTCTGCAGAACAGCTTTTCTGCCCCATCGTCCCCTTACATGGAGCCCTGGAGCCCACCTGGCTCTCCGTCTTCTCACTGATTCCGTTTGTTTCTCAAGTCTATGTTTCATATTCCTGGGAGAGAGTATGTGATTGGCTCAGCTTGGGCCAGGTGTTCAGGACAGGCTCCACCAGTACTGGACAGGGGCGGGGTCACCTGGGTCTGGGGCTGCCCCTTCCAGTGATGTGGGCAGAGACGACCCTATGAAAGAAATGTGGACGGGGAGGAATCACGTGTAATGAGCGCTTGGCTGCGAGGTCGTAGAGATTCAGGCTCCAGCTGGTGGCACTCCTGCTCATCTTGGGGAGGCTCCTCCATTTCTGGGGACCTAGTTTTTTACCTGTGAAATTAAGAAGTAGGACTAGAAATAACAATCCTAAGTAGCCTTTATTGGGCATCTAGTATGTGACAGATGCCCCTCTAAGCGCTTCACCTGCATTAATTTACGTGATTTAATGCCTGTACAGCACTTAAGGTGGTCACCAGGGGGCCGTTTCCTTCAACATTCAGTAAATTGACCTGCAATGTGCAAATCTCAGTCTGCTCCACCTTCACCCTTAATGATCTCGTGAAACAGAAACATAGCCCCGTCCTCTCAGACCACAGACCTGACATTTGTATCCTCACATAAAATTCTTCTGTCCACTGATAAGGGTTTGAAGGCTTTCAAAACAAGGATATTTTATCTTTGACAAAACTGGAAAGAGATATAATTAGAATTTGGAGATAAATTTTATTTCCTTTATCACAAATCATAATCAGCCCAAATCTCCCTGCTAATACACCATGCAATAAAACCTGGGGTTTTATTAAAAGTATCATTGAAGACAATTAACTGTGTAGCTACTTAACGTGAACAATGTGAGCAGCTGCGACACACGCACTCACCAGTGGAACCATCACCACAATCGAGGTAATGAACACACCTATCACCCGCAGAAGTCTCCTTGTACTTCTTTGTAATCCTGCCCTCGCGCTCCACCCGATGCCCCTTGTGTTACAAAGCTTCTCCACTCTGGCTGTTGGGAACAGGAACTATTCCCTGGCCTCTGTAGCTCAGGAAATTTTTCCGCCTACTTCTTTCCAGTGGTTCTTTCTCTGGCCTTGGATGGTTTCCTCACACACGCGCCTTGACCTGTACTCAGGTGAAGACTCAAGGGGAAGCCTCAGCAGATCTCCGGGACTCTCTCTGCCTGTGTAGCTCTTGCCTCTGGTCCTCTGCCCTGTGAATGCCACCCATCTTGGCCTCCGGAATTCTCAGTTCTGTTTTCTCTACTCGGAGACACTGCCAGGCTCCCTGTGGCTCCCCTCCCTGCCCTGCAGTTGGGAAATCCTCTCAAGGCAGCTAGCCAGGGCCGTCAGAAGCCTCGCCTCTCCTGTCTCCCTTCTCTCAGCTCCTGCATTGCCTGATGTCCAAAAAGCTTTGTTTCATATAATTTCACCAGGGTTTTTCATCTAGAGTTGGAGGACAAATCCAATCCCCGTTACTCTATCACAGCTGCAGCAGAAGACACAGCCTTTTTCTTTAACGAAAAATGCTTTATGACAAGCTCATGGTGAAAAATTCAACTGATATAAAGTCTTGGAAAGTCAAAAAGCAAGCATTCCCCGTCACTACTCCCGTCTCACACCCTAGAAATGCCCACTGCTGATGGGAAACTCAGCATTAAGTCATTTCCACTCTTCTCAGGAAGACCCTTTTGTGAAGCTGCAGAGGTGGGGAATCTGGCGGTGCTGGAGGTTCAGAAATGAAGGCCCCTGAGGAATGCCGACCTTGCTCCTCTCCCTCACTATCTCCCGCCCCGAGAGGTGAGCTGAGTCTTCTTCTCTACTGACTTCTCCTTCACCGTCCCAAAGGCAGGCCTCAGGGTCACCTGTCCATCTTAAAATCTTTATGAAGGCCACATGCTCATGTATGTGAAAGTATTTGACAAACTTTGAAATCTTATACAATTGCGAGTTAATATTATACCATATTCTCATACGGCTGTATTTTTAATATTAATAATTATTTGAACAGTAAGTCTTTAGAAGGTTTGATGATATCTTTAGAAGTCATTTTAATCACAAGTGAAAGTTTCTGCTCATAACAAGCCTACCCAAGCTGTCTGAGTCTGAGGCAAAAAGGAATCCTGATGCTGCTTCCAGGGCATCTGAAGTGGCCACAGCTGTGCGGTGACTCTCTCGCAGGTGGGAGATCCTCCAGCCCACAGTGGTGCAGCCCAGACACGGCCTTCAGGGCTGGGAAGTCATTTCTTATCAACCTCAAAGTATCTCAAATATACACCCTCAAAATCTCTTAATGTCTCCTTTTCATGGAATGGTGAAAAACATTGGACGACTTTTTTTCTTTTTTCCTCTTTCTCTATTTTGCTTTCTAGTTCTACTTCCTACTGTCTTCTGGACCTGAAAGCAATGGGTTCTTAAATGTCAGCTCTGGAAATGAAAAAAAAAAAAAATTATACCAGTGACTGCTATTTTCCTATGCAGTGATTTATTCTTGCCCTGTTAAAAACTATAGACATTTAACCATGCACAATTCACAATGTTCAAGGATTCAATCAAGGAATTTCTGCACATGGTGCAAAGCAAGAAAATATGATCCATAACCAGGAGAAAAATGAATCAACAGAAACTGACTCAGAAATAAACAGCACATGCATAAGATAGCCACCTGCAAAAGAAAAAATTGAACCTCTTCCTTACACCAATAAGGGAGGACAAATAATTTTCCCTCTACGCTTCTGAGTTCTTGGCTGACACCCCTGTAATAAAAGAGAGATTCACGAGAGAAAAACAGAAGCTTACTCACACATGTACCTCATGTACACATGTGAGATATCCAGGGAAAAATGAGTAACTCCAGAGGTGGCTTAGAATTCAGGATGAAATACCATCTTAATAAGGAAGGACGGTGACAGAGGCTTCTTAGGGGAGAATGGATGATTTTTAGGAAAGACGAATGGGCCCTTAGAAGACTGGATGGGAGGTATCACAGTTTGTGACAAAGTCTGTCTGTAAGTAGTATATCTTGGGGTGAAATATTCTGCTACCCTCACACTATACATGAAAATTAATTCGAAATGAATCATATACATATGTATGTGATAAAACTATGGCAGTATTAGAAGAAAACATAGGAGTAAATCTTTGTGACCTTGTTTGCAAAATGTTCTTAAATACACCAATAGCACAAATGACAAAAGAAAAGATAGTTTAATTTGACTTCCTCAAAATTTAAAACATTTGGGCTTCAAAGGACACTATCAAGAAAGTGAAAAGACGACCTCCAGAATGGGAGAAAATATTTTGAATTCATATATCTGGTAAGAAACTGGCACCTAGAACATATAAAGAAATCTTATACTCACTAAATAATGATAAATAATGCAATTTGAAAATGGGCCAAGGATTTGAACAGACATTTCTCCAAAGAAGTATTCCAATGGCCAATAAGCACATGCAAAGATGCTCAATATCATTAGCTATCAAGGAAACGCAAATCAAAACCACAAAGAGATACCACTTCACATCCACTAGGATGGCTATCATCCAAAAGATAGACAGCAACAAGTGTTAGGGACAATGTGGAGAAAACTGAACCCTCCTGTATGGCTGGGGCAGGGTGTAAGGAGATGGAAAGTCAGCATGGGTGACAGTGAGAATTGAGGGCGTACATGTGTGCTGGAGGAACACTTGTGTATCTGTAACCATGGAGGTTCAAGAGTGAAATGTGGGGGCCATTATAGTTGAGGAGCAGGTAAAGAACGTTGCTAGAGAGGCCTGGGCAGTGGCTACTCCCTCTGATTTGTGTGGGCCTTGATCTCAGAGGTGTGGATTGCTAGGTGGTGTCACAGAGTTTGTACAGTTTGAAACTGTTAGGCAAGCCCACCCACACCAACGGGCTGAGCTGGGTTGAGCTCCTCAGAGAGTTTGCCCAGACTAAGCAATTATATTCCAGTGGACACTGAACCCAGGCTTGTTTGTGTCACTCCATAAAACATATAGTGAATCCTCAAAGGAATGTATTAGGTGTGGCCTTTGAGAAGTAATTAGATCATGAGAGTGGACTCTGTGATGGGATTTAAGTAGACACAGGAGTGCTTGCTGTCACTCACTGCTCTCTGCCATGTGAGGACACAGGGAGAAGATGCCTCTCTGCAAACCAGGAAGAGAGTCCCCTCTACACACAGGATCTGCTCGTGCCTTCATCCTGGACTCCCCAGGCTCCAGAATTGTGAGAAACAAATGTTTATTGTCTAAGCCACCCGGTATATGGTACTCTGTCATAGCAGCCCGAGCTGACCAAGATAGATGGATAGAATGAATGGGACAGCTGTAAACGTGAGGGAGGGAGATGGGGCCAAAAATATTAAGTCTTAAGAGGAAACCTGGAGCAAAGGTGACAGGAGGAATTTCAAAGTGTCACCAAAGCTTTGTTCTTAGATTAATGTTCACAGCTCAAAAGTCAGAACCCCAAGACTTTTTCTAATGACAAATGACTTGGCTTTTCTTGAGGTCTTGGCTCCGACAGAACTGTTGGACTCTGTCATGAAACTCATCTGTGACGACAGACAGGTGCTTCTGTGTTCAGCTGGTTTGATTAACTTGAGTGAAATTGGTGAGAGTGAATCTCAGTCATTTAAGGGGAAAGAGTTCAAATGAGTTAGGGGTGGGAGAGGGGAGAAACTATGGGAAGATGGAGGGGGCATGGGAAAGGAGGGCAAAAGAAGCAGCGAGGAGATGGGGGGAGGAAGTTGGTGGGAGGTGGAGGGCAGAAAGGAGCTCACATCACCTCCAGCAACCTTGCTCACACCAGGAGGGGTTTGAGGAGAGGGGAGAGGGGTTATTCAAAATGAATTTTGTTTTTTCATGAGTAATCATATTTTGAATACTTACAAATCTCTCTCCTGGCACCACTTTCTTCAGCTGGACTTCAAGAGGTCTCTCAGTCATCTGGGAGGGATGACTTGGACAGTTCCCACACACAGCTGTGTGTTGCCAGCAACTTTCCGCAAAGTGCTGAGCGGGAATATCGCCAGTGTCTTGTAATGCAGTTTTACTCTTGCCACTACTGCTGCTGGTAGAAGCCTGGAAGACACCAGCCATGAGTGTCCTGGAATGGAGAGAACTGGCTGGGGGGGGTAGGGGGGCGTGTGTGTCTTCACGCAGATTTTAGGCAGGTGAGCACCTATCCATGTGCTGTCACCACGGCAAGCGTGTGGTTTAGCTGGACTGGCTCCCAGGTGTTCCTCACACCCAGTTCTGGGGGAGGTTCCCAGCCTCAGGCACCCCACCTGGCACTGTGCTCACATGTGGCAGCTCTCCCTTTCCTGTCTTTTCTCCTGGAGACAAGAATAGAGGTCCCTCAATGTGCAGAGACACACTTGATCTGCTGGAAGATGGTGGAGCTCCCAAGAGCCCAGGATGACGTCTTTGTCGGTGGGGGTGGGGGGGGGGGTGGTCTGCAGGTCTTCCCACCCTTCAGGTCAAGCTGTGTTGTCAGCGTGAAGCAGGACGATACACTGGTGCGTCCTGGCAGTTCAGCTTCAATGGACAGACAGCCGTCTTTGACACGATGAGCATGAACTGGACAGTCATTGGTCCCGGAGTCAGAGGGATCCAGGAGGAGTGGGAGAACAGCCAGGACCTGGCAGAGCATTTCAGGAAGCTCTCAGCAGGAGACTGCAGTCACTGGCTGAGGGAATTCTTAGAACACTGGGAGAAAGTGCTGGAGCCCACAGGTAACTGAGGGGGCACAGACCGCTCTCTGGGCGGCACCTGCCAGCACAGAACTGCTCCCTGGGCCACACCCCCCTCAGCTGCCCTCCCCCCCGGGAGGAGCCTGGGGGAAATGCCAGAGCCCACATGTAAGAGGGGGCAGAGGATGGGATAGCTCTCTGTAAGTTCTACTGCCTTTACTGTGTGGATGTGAGTCTGTGTGTATATTTGAATATTTGATGGATGGATTGATTCATTTCTGGTTGACTTCCTCTCTGGAGAGTCATTGACTGCTATAGAATGTCCCACTATCCTCCTTTCCCACCCTCTCTCCCTCAATGCAGAAGCCCCCTTCCGCATTGACCAATGGTCCAGTGGCCCTGGACTGCTAGATGGTACCCAAATCTCTATGCATCCTTGTGCTTCCAGGCCTTGTCTTCCTCTGTTTTAGTTATCCTGTAACCAACCTAAATGTCCCTTCTTATGAAGCCTTTAGCCCTTTCCCAGACAGAACTAAGCATCCCCAATTCTGTCATCTTCAAAAAAGTCTACCCATAGTGAACATGTCACCCCGTATGGTGATCAGATGGACATCTGCCGTCTCCTTCAGCACAAACATGAGCTCCATGAGGACAGGGCACAACCCCTGTTCATCTTTATCCCCCAGGACCTGATAGAGTGGCTGTCACCTGAGTCAGCATATATGTGGGGGCACACGTGCTACCTGGGAACATAGGTGTGTTCTTAGGTTTGACAAGGCTTTTGCTTTTATCTTGTTTTAGTACAATCAGTAAAGTTCTCAGATAACTGCCAGGCTTCATCCATCCAGTTAATTACGTGGATCATCCCTTCCATCTTCATCTGCTCAGTCCTAATTGGCATCATCATCACAAAGCATAGGAGGAGATCAGGTACCAGGAAGGTGAGGAGCAGGCTGGCCTCTGGCTCTCGGGGAGGACATAGTCTAATGAGGACTTGGGAGAGGTGAGCCATGATCTCACCCCAGCCCTTGTCCACTTCTTCGTCTCTACATAGAAATGATGTATTTAATCTTAAGCCCCCACCCTCCACAGGAGCCGCATGAAATCAGGTATGTGAAAGTGTCTTACAAACTTTGAAATTATATATAATCGTTAGTTAACATTCATACTTGTTTATTTTTCATATAAATCATTATTCTAATAACCAGTATTTAGAAGGTTTGATGCTATCTTTAGAAGTCATTTTAATCACAAGTGAAAGTTTCTGCTCATAACAAGCCTACCCAAGCTGTCTGAGTCTAAGGCAAAAAGGAATCCTGATGCTGCTTCCAGGGCATCTGAAGTGGCGGCAGCTGTGCGGTGACTCTCTCGCAGGTGGGAGATCCTCCAGCCCACAGTGGTGCAGCCCAGACACGGCCTTCAGGGCTAGGAAGTGTCAAAGTCACTCAAATAAGCACCCTCAAAAACTCTGCAATTTCTCCTTTTCGGGGAATAGCAAGAAATACTGGGTTAACTTTTACTCTTTTTTTCTGTTTTCACCTTCTAGTTCCACCTTCTATCTGTTCCGGACCTGAAGGAAATGAGTTCCTAAACGTCAGCTCTGGAAATAAAAAACATGGCAGCACAGACTGCTATCTTCCTATGCTGTTATTTATTCTACTGCGACTAAAAAAATATAGACTGTTAACAATACGCAATTCACAACTTTCAAGCATCTCATCAAAACATTTCTGGACATGCCAAAGAGCAAGGAAATGTGATCCATAATCAGGAGAAAAATGAATCAATAGAAACTGACAGAAATAAACAAGACACAGAAGCTGCTCACGGGCAGGTGGAGCTCTCAGGTGTAGCCTCCACTGGTCGGACGTTTTATATACCTTACGATGTCATTTAAAACACTGCTCCTCTAGCTCCACACGCTCTGAGCTGAGGGCCTCTGCACGGGCTACAGAGATAGCTCACCAGGTCCACGTAATTGGCCGTGCTCAGATTTCTCGTTATGTTTGTGGAAGCTGGGTGAATGTGACTCCCAATTTTTGTATTTTTCAATAGCACTGCCCGCCTTGTGTTACCCAAGTCCAACATCTCGGGAACCCAGTGTGGAAATAACTAGGGACGTTGGAGGTGAAGGACTGGAGACAGCGTCTGGTGGTTCCCCAGTAGAGCGTGTCCCTTCTCTGGAGCAGGGCCCGAGGTCACAAGGATTGGTGGAAGACCCCCTTCCCCCAAGTGCCCGTGCCCCTTTGAGCTGACACCCGAGCAGGTCTGGCTAGTAATAAAGCCCAGTGGGCCTAGACAGAAACGCTGCCCTAACCCGGAGACCGCGGGCGCAGGCGGCTCTCTGGGCTGCACCCGCCGGCACAGAACCCGCTCTCTGGGCCACACCCCCCTCGGCTGCCCTCCCCGCCTGGGAGGAGCCTGCGGAAGGGGGTGCGGTGGGCGGGGTCAACCCTAGCAAAGGGGCGGAGGGGCGGGGGAGGGGGCGGCCTGGGCGGGGCTCCGTGCATCCCCGCCCCCTCGGCGCCGCTGTTCCGCCCCGCTGGTGCTGATCTGCGCTCAGGCCGCCTGTCGCCGCCGAGCGCGCCCCGGGGCCGGACAGAGAGGCGCGGGCGCGCCCGGAAGCCTCGGGAAAGCCCGAGGAGCGGCGCCCGGCCGGGCCGGCTATGCCTCCCGCTGCAGCGCGGACGCCGCGCTGTGCTGCTACCTCTTCAACTGCACCGCGGCTACAGCAGCTACAGCCTCCACCTCCGCCTCGGCCGGGTAAGCGCGCCGCTGAGGCGGGCTGGGTCGGGCCCGCGCTGGGGGACGGGGCCAGACGCTTGGTCCTGCCGTCCTTGCACCTGTCGGATGGCTGCATCCGGGAGACGCGCCTAGGCAGGAGCGCGGGGCCCTTCTCAGCCAAGCTAGGAATAGAACACCCTCCCTCCCAGCTATCGTAGCTGCGGGCGTCCAGAAGAGTGGCTTTGATTTCCCAGTCCAGGCATGGTTTCTGAAAGATCCCAGCAGATCGGGCAGAGGCAGGCACGGAGGGCTGCTTCTGGAATTTTTCTGGGCTTGGGGATAGCGGCTGATCTGAGAGGATTCTCGGAAATTCGATTTAAAAGAGAAAACTCTGAGACAAAAAACCCCAAAATATGTATTTTGATTTCCAATTTTTATAAGGCGTGGTTTATGTCAAGTAATTACAAGAGAAAATCTAGTTAGATGTCACATGCTGATAACACACCCGTGTCTGAGCTTGGCCCTCATGACTCATAGTCTCACCTCTGCTTGCTTTCATCAGGGGAAAACTGGAAGGAAAAAGAGTCAGGCATTTTTGAAGCGGATCCAACTGATTCCTGTGAATTACTGTTCCCTTTTATAAACAGTGAAAACAAGGGACTTGATTTTCCTTGAAAATCAAAGTTTAAGATATCTCTTTTTTTAAAAAGAACAAAAAATGAGGCGTTTCATTCAATGGTTTTATTTTCTGTGGATGCTCAGAATGAGACTTGAGACAGTAGAGGAGACTCCAAAAAAACTGTGGCAGTTGGAGACTAAGGTCACTATGGAACAAAACTTGACTGGGCCCACTGGTGGTGAGCTCAGTGTGTGGGATCGCTCTCTGTTGCTGTTTGATGTATGATAACACGAGGGTGATGTCACAGCAAGATTAGAGGGTGTAGCCTCAGCGCCTTGGGGAATCTGGAGTCTCCATGACCTGCGGGTCCAGTGAGAAGGGTCTGGAAGTCTGTGTCCACACTGGCCTGCCTCCCTACCCACCTCCAACCAGGAGGAGGCTCAGCACCCTTGTCAGGGGGCAGACATCCGAAGGTCACCCTGTGACCGCTCAGCCTTGAGGCAGACACAGGGAAGGACACTGACGTTTTCTCCCTGAGGGGAGCAGGAGGCCCTTTCACCTGGACCCCCACCAGCATCCTTGAGCCCACCCATGGTCACACACACATCCTTTCTCTCTGCCAAACAGGGACCCAAAAGTCCCAGCAGCAAAGAGACAAAGTCCCTTTCTCTTGTTCTCACCGCATATCGGGAAGAAACCCACATTGCAAAGGGAGTTTTCCGATAAACCAGAGGAAACCAAAAGGAAAACTAACGAGGAAAGAACATGCCCATGGAAGTTAACGAAGAAGTTTAGTTCACTAGTAGAAGCTTCTGAGTCATTTTTTCCTTCTAATTCCTTCTTTGCCTTTCCCTTCCCTTGGGGGAGTTTGTCTAGGAATTCGGTTTTGGAGATGGTCAGGGGGAAGACAGGTCACCACTGGGGTTGGTCCCCTTCTGGAAAAACACTGCCATGCTGGCACATCTTCAGATCCCAGCAATGGGGAACATGGGAGGGTGCAGCTCAGGCCCGGAGGCGCCCTCTTCCTGCTCTGCAGGTGGGGCACAGGTTACCCTATTCACTGTCCTGTGCTTTCCCTGCCCAGATACTTGACCTGTTGAAGTTCTTTATGCTTCTGAGACCACTAAGTTTTTCCACCTTGATTTTTCTTTTCTGGATCTTGTGACATGTGGAGTTAGAGGCTAAAGGAGCATGAAAATGGTCTAGAAAAGCTCTTGTAGAGATTTCCTAGGGGTCCATTTAAGGTGAATATAAACATGATGAAGAAATGGGGAGGGAATAATGGGATGAGACAGTGCAAATGTATAGGGAACCCATCAGCCCTGTTTATTGCTGATGGGTATTGAGTTTTAGTACTGGGCACTGTTATAAGCTCCTTACACACAAGAACTCCCTCTGTCCTCAAAACACCCAGAGATCTAGGTTCTGTTATCATCCCCAGGGTACGCGAAGGCGTGGTGAGAGAAAGTAACTTGTCCTAGGGTCTCACAGCACAGGAGCCGTGGAGCTGTGTCACGGGAACTGGGGAGCGGTGTTGGGGGAGCTGTGTTACAGAGCAGTTCAAATGATTTCTCCAGCAGCACCAGGCAACCTGGAAACAGAGAAGAGGATGCTTGGGTTTCCCACAGTGGGACTGGCCAGGTGGCTGTCGGGGATGGTAGGAGAACGCGGGATTGTGTGGAAGATGCTGGAGAGAGGTGTGTTGGAAGGACTGACTCTGCCTGCAGTGCTGTGCAGAGAGCAGGGCAGGGGGCTTGAGGTCCTGAGACCTGGGTTTGAGAGCCAGCTCCTCCACGTACGGGTCCCTGCTAATCTCCTGGGACTTGAGTGCTCCCCTTGTGCTCCAGCCCGGGCTGTCGTGAGGATCAGGATAGACGTGCTTTGTGTATTATGAAGGTGGCACACATGTCCGTGATGTCATCACAGGACGCTGGTTGGGTCACCTGGCTGCCTGGAGGGGTTGGGGACTGGGTGTCCCCATAAAACTGAAGGGCAGCAGGAGGGGGGAGTGGAGTGGTTAGGACCTCAGAGGAGCTTGAGAATATATCTCTAAGGGCTCAAGGACAGACCCTTGATGCCGTTTCCACAGGATACTCAGCTTGAAACCCAGGATCCCTGGGAGGACCTTGTGTAATTTGGGAACTCAGGCCCCACTCTGAGGGAAAAATCAAAAGCTGGTAGGCAGCGCCCTGCTCTCCCCACTGCAAACCCACACACCGCCCCCCAGCCTCTCCCTCATCTCCTCCAAGCGCGGAGGAAGGAGTTGACTCCTGTTCAAGGCTGACCCCTCCACATGGGCCTGACCAGTCTCCTCCTCCAAGGACCTTTCTCTCTCACATTTTCAACCTCTCGCTTTGTGTTGTAAGCAAAGATCACAAAAGAGGCAAACATTTATATTTTGTAAATAATATCGAGATAACTGGTAGGAATATGGGGGAAAATACATTTAGACCTGCAGCTCTGACCACACATAAATTCTAGATGGATAAAGAATTAAATAATTTAAAAAAACAATTAAACCATAGGTTACTCCACACATAGGAAGACTCGAAGACAATAAGCTCACTATTACATATCTGGAGGGAAGATAACTTTCTAATCAAAGAGATCACAGAGAGAAAGGACGGATTATGTACATGTTTTTAAACAATTCTTTATGTCAAGAAACAAAAGGAATTGCAAATAAGAGTTTAGGGAAACATGAGATAAAAAGTATTTATTATATTAATAGAGCTTATGTGAATCAGTAAGAAAAACAAAAATAAATGGGCAAAAGATGTGACAAACAGTTCCCAGAAGAGGGTGTATAGGTGATAAACATGAAAAATTTTCGAGCTTAAAAGTAATCAAAGAAATGCAAATAATGCCAGCTTATGCTTATTAAACTGGCAAAAGTAAGTTTCCTCTGATACTGGCATGCATGGAGAACTTAGTATAATCTTATATGGTCTCCGGAAGTATAAAATGGTACCAATCAGGAAATATGTAGCAGAGTCCATTAAAATAGTCATTCATTCTTCTGGAATATTTTTTTAGGAAAATGATCCATGCTAAAGAAAAAGTATGAGAAGAAAAGTTTATTATGGCAGTATTTATAACAGTGAAAATGGGGACAAAGTAAATGTCCAATAGTGGAGGTGAGGAAATGAAGTGGCAACTGAGAAGTTCATGTAGTGACATGGGCAATGCTAGCATATGTGAATAAATACCAATAAATAGAATATATTAATAAGTTAAATTCAGGTTGTAAATTTATTTTTACTGTACCTGGAATACACTTGGGGTGCCCCAAAGTGTAGTGAGATCTTTCAGTTAGAAAGATCTGGGCTGACGTCTGAACTGGCAGATTTACCACGTGTGGCCTTAGCAACTCGGTTATCCTCTCTGACCCTGGCTTCCTCGGGAGTGTGATGCAGACGAAAACACCCACCTCAGAGACTTGTGCAAGTGGAGCGAAGCTATGGCTCACGAGCACTTAGCATGGAGCCTGGTACAAAGAAATCATCCGATAAATGGCAGCCCTTCATTATCATTATCAGCTCATCTGGAGAAAGACTAGAACAGCACACGCCCAAAATGGTGAAAATCATGTTGGGGTTGTGAATAATTTTTTCCCAAAGTGTTGCAATTAAGAAAAACACAGTTAAAAAAACACAAAAACAAACAGCCACAGTGGATTTGGACCCACAATGTCTAAGCCTCTTCCCTTAGTCTGGGCCCACTTCCGTTTCCTGCCTTCAGGAGTCCCTTTTAACTTCTCAGCCTCAGCTGTCTCATTTGTGCCCACACGGTGCGGATCCAGATTCCAGAGCCTCTTCCTTGTGGTGAAGGCTCCGTTCACAGCCGTGTGTTGTATTCGGGTTAGTTAACAATACTGTTCCTCTCTATATAAGATGCCGCCTGGATTTGCTCCATCAAAATTGAGAGCAGTCTTATTTCGCCTCTGCAGAGCTTACCAAGTGTGTTTAGTTTTAAAAAGAAATCAGTGTTTCCATAGTATTTAACGCTGGTTTGCTACATTTTTATGACGAAACTTCAGAATTACATTTATCTTGTTCTTCGTCAGTAAGTCAAATATTTTTAAATGATAGGGCACTTGTTTCCTCTTCTTGTCGTTTGTTTATTTTTAAGGCCTGTTTCTTGGTAGATAAGCTCTGGCTTATTTTAACATACATTATACAGTTTCATTTGCCTGGCCTTGAACTGAGAGGAAATATATCTGTCTTATTTCAAATACAACAGTGATCAATTTAGAGGATATGAGAATTTCACTGTGTTCAGAAATCATATCTTACAGCTCCCCAAACAAAAGTAAGTGACTAAAACAATGATTCTTTTTCCTCCAGGAGGGGCAGGATTAATTAGTTTTATATTACGTAGGATATTTCAGAGCTTCCTTGATTTTTCCGTCTTAAATCTTTGGGGTTAAATTTTTGAGGGCTTTAAAATACATTATTCGCATTCATTGCTGTTTATATCATATAGGCGTATTTTGGTTTGTCTACTTAAAAATAGTATTTAAAAGTAAACTTTAATGCAAACAGCTGCTAACTATAATGTGTTACTGATGAGTTATAAGACGCTTTCCAGAATTATAAAGTGGTAAGCCATTGTGTGGAAAGCAATGAACCTTCCAGAACCAAAGGAAAGTTCTCTATAAAAGGCCTATTATTGATGCAGTTGTCACATCTCCCCTTACTTGGAGGAAGCAGAACAAAGACTTCAGCCCTGGATCTTTCCAGAGGTGGAGAAAGACAGCAAATTTCTTCTTAGGCGGGGGGTTACTATGTGGCTTATTTAAATCGAACTTACTAGTCCTCACTGTTTTAAGTGACTGTCAAACTGGGGCCCATCTTCTCAATAGATGTGTGCTCTTTGGCAACGTCAAGTGTGCTTATTCCTGGCCAGGGGCTCATAAAACAAGTCTTCTTTCCCGGAAGCTGCAGCAGCCTCTTCCTTCAGGAAAGCCCCTGCTGTGAGAGCTGCGAGCCCCTCACATGCGCTCTCTGCTGTTGGCCCTTGAGGGCATCGCTGAGGGAGAGCCGGGGCTGGACGGGGGTCTCTGAGCATCAGGAGGGTAATGGTGACGTGTTGGAGGATTTTTCTTAAGCAGGGGAATGACCCAATCAGATTACATTCCAGAAGAGTCCTTGTAGCTGCAGCAACACCCTTTATTGTCTTTGTTAATGAGAAACCAATGGGACTGCAGCTGCCCCAACCTCAGGCACTGGCTGTCTGGGCTGGTCCTTGGGGGTTTGCTCAGGAGGCAGCTTGGGCTGCGGAGGAGGAGAGGCGGTACCTTAGCGACATTGTGCAGAGTGAGCGGAGGCAGGGCAAGTCCAGGCCAGCGTCTTGACCAGAGCTTTGCACTGGAGGAGGAAGGAGACAGTGGATGCCTCTTCTGCCTCAGTCAGGACTGTCTCTTGTTGTGGGGGTTCTTCTTATTCAGTTTTGAGGTCTCTCTCGGGATAATTTTTCTAAGAATAATTGTAACCTGGTTGTGTTCGTGGGAGGCGGTGAGTTCAGAGTCCGCCTATGCCGCCATCTTGACAAGATCTCTAATACTTTTCTCTAACTCAGTATGTATGACTCAAATTTTTATTTAACCTAAATTGTTATTTCAACATGTAATCGATATAAAAAAATTAATAATGAGACATTTGACATTTTTATGCGAAGTCTTTGAAATCTGATGTGCATTTTACACTACAGGACATCTCAATTCAGGCTACCCACCGTTCAAGTGCTCAGTAGCCAAATGTGGCTAAGACTACCTGTTAGATCTTGCAGCTTTAGATTTTAGAATTATCAGGCAGGTATTTTAAAATAACTATGCTTCCTATGTTTAATGAGCTAAAAAAAGATGAAAAAATTCAATACTGAATTGGAAATTATATAAAAGTGACAGAGGATATTTGAATTATGGAATAATCCAAAACCGTAAAATTGAATAACTGAAATTAACCACTCAGTGGATGCCTTTAGTAGCAGCTTATACATACCCGAGGAGAGAACGGATCAACTGGAATGCGTGTCAGAAGAAATTATGTGTGGGCCGGCCGGGTGGCACACCTGTTAAGTTCCCATGTTCTGCTTTGGCAGCCCAGGGTTCACGAGCTCAGATCCTGGGTGCGGACCTACATACTGCTTGTCAAGCCATGCTGTGGCAGGGGTCCCACGTATAAAGTAGAGGAAGATGGGCACGGATGTTAGCTCAGGGCCAGTCTTCCTCAGCAAAAAGAGGAGGATCGGGGACGAATGTTAGTTCAGGGCTGATCTTCCTCAAAACAAAAAAAAAAGAAAAGAAACAATTATGTGGAATGAGTTACAGAAAGATCACAGGATGGAAAAATCCAGAAGAAAGAGTTAGCAGACACAGTGACAAGGTTTACCCCACACTAATCAGAACCCTAAAGGGAGAGGTAAGAGAAAATAACAAGAAGTTATTTTTGAAGAGATAATGGCTGAGAATTTTTCAAAACTAATTGGAAATCTGTTGTCAATTTCATTGCCTTTCCATTGAAGGTAATCATATCAAACCTTCTTGAAGTTTTTGTCTTTGAAGATCTTGAAGATGTTGTACAATTTTACCACAATGTGCCTAGGAGTGAATTTATTTCTATATATCCTACTTGAGATTTACTGTGTTTCCAGAAATGGAGGATCAATGTCTTTCATAAAATCTGGAAAATACTTAGCTATCAGCTCTTTGAATTTCCGCTCCCTCATTTTCTTCCTTCTCTGGCTTTTGGAAGCCCTGTTAGATGTAAGTTGGACCATTTCATTGCAGATCCATATTTTCTGCCTCTCTCTTATAGTTTCAGGATGAAACTCTCTCCACTAAATTTTGAATGATTCCTTCAGATTAATCACTCTGCTCACTGATTCTCTATTGAACTATGTCTAATATGCTGGTTCACCAGTGTGTTGAGTTTTTAATTTTAACATATTTTTTGTTGCTAGAAGTTCTGTCTGGTTCTATTTCAAATATAGCTGGTCTTTTATAATCATTTCATTATTTGAAATGTTTTTTTTCATTCTTTATGACTTTAAGGATGTAAATACACATATTTTACAGTTTATCGATGTTTTTAATATCTGTATTTCCTGAGGACGTAACCTGCTGTGTTATTTCACTTACTGTGGGTTGAGTCTTGATGTGTTCTGTAAGTTTAAAGCACGACCTTTTCTTTTGACTTCATATCACTTGGAAGCAATAACTTTCACAAGTTCACCCCTGAGTTCAGATATCTCCTCACTGGAAGGCCAGTGGGAAAGGGGAAGGGCCCACCCCAAGGCTTAGGGCCTGTTGATGCTAAAGGGGTTTAGCAAAGTCAGGCCTGACTCAGACCAGGTCACCTGTTTGGGAGAGTCTCTTTGGGCCCAGTGGGAGGTGGGGTGGGGACAGCAGGCTCACAAGTCAGGGGCAGGACTCACATTTGGGTGAGAGTCACGTGTTGGCTCCACAGTATGTGTCAAGGGGAAGGGGACTCCTCCAGGGGGCTAAGAGGAGAGGGGCCTGGGTCTAACCCGGGAGGAGGGCTGGAAATGCTTTGCAGACTCATGTCTAAAGGCTGGAGTCCAGGGCTGCGTTCTCACAGAAAGATCAGCTTTGAATCCTTTTGTGCCACAAAAACTTGGAAATACAAATTCGGAACACAGCACCCCAGACTTTCCCAAAGAGGGGTTAATTTATTTACCAAAAGGTCTTGGGCTCCGCTGGGATCAAAACTACTAGAAAACGTACCGTCGATGACAGGACAGCTAAGGGCTGTGTTCAGCCCCTTTCATTAAGACGGGAGTGTTCTCGAGAAGGAAAATCTTGTGTCATTTAAGAAGAGAGGAAAGATTGTGAACACGGGACAGAGACGGGAGGGCCAGGGGTGGGGTGCAGGAAAGAAGGGCTGAGGGGCAGGGGGAAAAGGGAGAGAGACTTCGGTTACAGGAGGAGACTGGAAATAATGAGTAACGCGAGTCACCAGACCCACCAGACCCAGACCAGGAGAACGACGGACGCTAGGTGAGGGACGGGAGGCGGGCGATGACGCAAGGAGTCGCCTGGCAAGGCTGGGAAGGCGGGCCAGGAGGGCGAGGAGGGCGGGCCCTGGGGAATAGCTCAGGAGACAAAGTCCGGCCCCGTGCACAGAACACTTAGTCTGCGGCCGACGGGACCGAGAGCTGGGTTCCCATCCCCGTTGCAAGTAGCCATGGGGTGGACCGCGGCCTCCAAGTTCTGTCTCGGCCTCCTGCCCCTGCTCCTGCTCCCGCAGCGGGACTGGCCCCGGGCGGCACGTGAGTTCGGGATGGAAGCTGCGGGGAAGTGGGGTGGGCGATGGATTAGGACCGGCGAGGGGATGTGGGGGCTCACGGGCGCTCGGGTGCCTTCTCGGCTGGAGGCGCTGCCGTCTTCCCTTAAGTATTTACCTCGAGCTCGCGTCTTCCCGGTGGTTGTCTCCTGCGGGCAAGGGGAGGGCGGGGAAAGAGGCGAATCTGGCGAATAGGAAATGCCAGAGAAGAGGAGAGGGGAGGCAGGGGAGGGAGAGATGGCGCAGTGGGAAAGGCTGCTGAAGCCCCGGGCCCAGCCCGCCCGCCCCTCGGGAAGTGGGAGCCTGAGCCCCAGGCACCCGGGGCGTGGCCAGGACAGGAACAGGGACAGGGAGGCGATCCAGACAGGCTGCCTGCCCTCCTCTGCTCGCACCATTGTCCCCACACACCCTCCGTCCTGCCCACCGCTCTTGACCAATGGCTCACCGCACGTGCAGCCCGAGACACTGACTGACCCTCCAGAGTCCCTGCTCCTCCACCCCAGCTCACAGCCTTTCACTGCCCACCTCACCTTGTCTCCATGCACCACACGGCCTCCAACAGCTTCCCAAATGGGAACTGTCTACCTGTCACATTGTAGACAGGTGACTGAACCCCAGAACCTCAGTCACCTGTCTACCAACTGACCCCTTATCCCCTTGCCTGAGGACACAGTCCAGCAAAATCCTCCATGCCTGGTCCCCAGAACCTGGAGTAGGAGGGACAGGAGGCGGGGGCGTGGTTTCCTGCCAGACGGACTCCTCCTCCTCCTCCAGCAACCAATGGACACGAGCCTAAAGCTGCTGAAGGGGCGGGGCCTGGTGGGGCGAGTTTGCTCAGCAGCCCAGCCCTTCGGAGACTCTGGCTTTGACAGATAGGGGCGGCGGTGGGGGACAGTGTCTAGGGTTCCTTTTCTCCCAACCCCAGTGCTCACCTCAGTTTTTCCTTCACAGACGCTCCCTCTCTTTGCTATGAGTTCACCTTCATTCCTAAGCCCAGCCCTGGACAACCCTGGTGTGAGGTTCAAGGCCAGGTCATGAAAAGACTTTGGTTTCCTATGACTGTGGCAGCCAGGAGGTCAAATCCTTGAGTCTTCTGGGAGAGGAGGTGAATGGCACAAGGGCCTGGAGAGCACAGGCCGACACTCTGAGAGATGTTGGGGACTTGCTCAGACAGCAATTGCCGGACGTTAAACGAGAGACATACACGGACAGGGGTAAGTGAGAAAGTCCAAGTGCAGGGGAGAGCAGGTTGTGGGGTTAGGGGCGTTGATTGTACTCATGTGAAAAAAAAAGAAAGAAAGGATGTTGGTCATTCCCAAGTAGTTCAGCAGAAAGGGCAGGCCTTCGAGGAAAGAACAGGATAGGTACAAAGGGGCCCAGAGGGGTGGACACTGGGGTGGCCGGGGACAAAGGATTTGTCCAGAACAGAGGCTGACCTCTTTCCCACGGTGGGGACAGACCCTCTCCCGCTGCAGCGCAGGATGCTGTGTCAGTGTGAAGCCAATGGACGCACGCGCGCATCCTGGCAGTTCGGCTCCCAAGGACAGACTTTCCTCGTCTTTGACTCGGAGAACAGAACCTGGAAGGTGCTTCACCCTGGAGGCAGACGGATGAAAGAGAGGTGGGAGAGTGACAGGGATGTGACAGAGTTCTTCAGGAAGATCTCCATGGGAGACTGCAGGAGCTGGCTTGAAAGTTTCATGGTGCACTGGGAGAAAATGCTGGAGACAACAGGTACCTGAGAAGAGGAGGAGGAAGGGACAGCTCTCTGGAGACAAGAGCAACACAGCTCACCTTGTGTGTGTGTGTGTGTGTGTGTGTGAGAAAGGGTGATTCATCCACGGTGAGTTCTTCCTGGGAGAATAAGGGCCATAGGTCGCTTCTACCATGCTTCTTTCCCCTTCTCACCTCTTGACATGTCTTCTTCTCTGCACATGCCTCTGGTCCACTCACCAGGGATCTTGCTGACCTCAAACATGAGGGCATCATTCTCTTTCCAGACCTTTACTTCTCACTGTTCCCTCTTCTCAGCCTCACTTTTCTTTTTCATCTCACCTGATCTATTTCTGGAAATCCTTCAATACCACTAACTGTCCACTCCTGAGAGGACTGCTCTCCCACCACCCTCAGGTGTCACCTCCTCTGTCACATCAGCAGTGATTGGTTACATTGGAACTCTTGTTTCCCTCGTTAGCTGGATGAGCCTCTTGGGGACAGGGCCCATCTCCTCTGTCCTTTCCTACCAAGGAACTGTGACAATGGCTGCCACAAGTAGAAGACTAGAAAATGTCTACATTGTAGGATTATCTGGGGCAGCAGGAGTTGAGAGGGAGTCTCCTCAGAGGAGGTTTCGGGTCCGTCCAAAGGCCGTCATTCTTCCTTTTTGATTTCAACATCACCAACCACGGCCCCAGATACAGGCTGATTTAGGGCACGGCCAACATACCCATCAGCTGGAACCTCCCGATGACCCACTCCAGTTCTATTCTGGGCGTCATAGAATGCATCCCTCATGGTAACAGGTACCGAGAGCAGATACCCTGGTGTTAGGGTTGAGGGAAAGGTGAATTATCAGCCCAACCCTGCCCCCTCACTGAACTTTCTCATCATGGAAATGCGACTGGGAAACTAAGGCCTCATATCATTCCATAGCAATAACTTGGCCAAGCTCAGCCCTGGGTTCTGCTGTCTCCTCACTGGAAAGGCCAGTGGGAAAGGGGAGGGACCCGCCCCAAGGCTTAAGGCCTGTTGATACTAAAGGGGTTTAGCAAAGTCAGGCCTGACTTAGACCAGATTTCCTGTATGTGAGTCTGTTTGGGTCCAGTGGGAGGTGGTGTGGAAACAGCAGGCACACAAGACAAGGGCATTACTCACATTTGAGCGAGAGTCACACGGTTCTTCTACATGTTGTGTCAAGGGGAAGGGGACTCATCCAGGGGGCTAAGAGCAGAGGGGCCTGGGTCTAAGCCCAGGAGCAGGGCTGGGAAGGCCTTGCAGCCTCAACTCAAAAGGCTGGAGTGTAGGGCTGCGTTCTCACAGAAAGTTCCTTGGCTCCCAGCAGGTGAGACAGAAGGCACACAGTAGGGTCTACGCAGGTGATATTAAGAGGAGACTAGTTCTCCATGGAACAAGGGGAATTCTGACTCAGCCTTTGGCATGCAGCTGGCAGCCAGCCTCCTGCAAACCCCAGATCCTGAGTCATTGAGCAGCCCCTCCCTGGAGCAGAGGTGACTCAGGAGGTAGGTGGGACTGAGCTGCTGTTGATGTCATAGCTGAGCTGCACCAGGAATGGATGGGGGTAGGGACCATCACACTGAAAACTATCTATGCTGCTAGCTAAGAGGCTGGGCGAGGAAGAGAAGAAAGATGTTTGCCAGCAACCCTCCCCAAGGCTACAGGTGTCAGGATGCAGACCCTTCTCTTCCATCAGAGCTCCCACCAGGTGCTTTAGGCCCTCTCATCAGAGGGAGAATCAGGACCTGAGTACAGCGAGCAGGTGATTCATCACTTGATCTAGTCATGAACCTGCACATTTGGTAGCAGGGCCCAGGCCTGCCTGTGGTGTGGGAAAGGGTGTGGGAGATTGGGACAAGCTGGTGGAACCAGGGAGCAGGTGACAGGTGGGGAGAAATACATGACCCTCAGTGAGGGCTGTACTTAAGATGAGGAGTGAGTGGGAAGCTGACCCTGGAGACATGACCCAGAATTTCCTCAGCCTCTTGGACCAATACTGTTTCTTTTCTGAAGGCTAACGATGCTCCCAAGAAGGCCCCGAGAGTGTGGTCCGTGTCACGACTCTGCCTTTTGTTTGGCTGCCTTTGGATCACCTGCTCTTCATTTCTAGACCACCAGGAGCTCAGACCTTGCAAATCCAGAGACCACCATGAGATCATGAAGAGACAGTCTGTGCAACATCTCAGGTCCCTCATTGCATTGGGCAATTCTCCTATTCAGTGCCTTTCCTTAACATATTGTGCCACTTCCTCTTGGTGCTCACCCCCCACCCCCCCCACACACACACAGCAGTGACTGTCCTGTGATCCCTCCACCCTGGCTCGCCTCCTTCAGTGAGAAGTCCGTCTTCACAGCAGAAGCAGCTCTACTTCTAAGAGTTGTTTTCTTTCCCCTCAGACACAGGATCAGTATCCAGTATATACAGTGACCTCCTACAAATCCATCAGAAAAAGTCCGATTCTCCTAACATTTGAGCAAATGTTTTGAGGAGTTCAGAGAAGGTGAATAAGCCTATGGGAAGATGGAATGTGTCCCAAATCATCCAGATCACACAGAAGAACAATGGGCACCCTTACATACCCAGTGAATGGAAACACTGTGAAATATATCAGGTGGTGGACAGGAAATGGAATGATGTCCCAATCTCCCCGACCCTTTACGACATCCATCTTACACCGTTAGTAGGAGTATAAATGGAGTCACTCCTTTGACATGTGTTTTACCAGATCCCCACAGTGGACGATGTGTTCTTCCTACCACACAGCCATCCCACTGTTAATTCCAGGCTGGCGAACGTGTACCACAGAGCATGTAGAGATATTGTTCATTGTAGGGCTATGTGGCATAGAAAAAGCGAGCATTAAGATATCCAACTGAAGTAGGATATATTTTTTAAAATGGTTAAAAGATTTCTATTTCTACTTCTATTTCAGAGTAGATTATCTGAAATTCTATTAAAAATAAAACCACCACATGACAGACACAAAACTTTTAAACCTTTCCAATACATATTTGAAAACTTCTGGTTGACATACAATAACAGTGGTGACATGAATCCAAATCTCTCCACATACATTTAAAAATTACCCAGGTCAACAAAAGGGGCAAATAAAATACCTTAACCCACATCTTCAGCTGATCAAGGACATGAAAATACCTTAATCCATCAGTTCCTTTGACTCAAAAGAACATTATTATGACAATTTGAAACTTGTGGTGATTATATCATGGTGATATAGGGGAGTGGCCTGCTTAGGAAATACATACTAAGTATATGGCATCAGATGACGCCATGAAAAGTGGGGGACATCAATGTGACAGCTCACTGTCATATGGTTTAGCAAGAGAGGTGCTCTGGAGAGTACTCATAACTTCTGTATCACTGTGTGCTTGTGTCAAAAGTTCTTATTGGGGGCCGGCCTGGTGGTGCAGTGGTTAAGTTCACCCATTCCGCTTCAGAGACCTGGGGTTCGCCAGTTTGGATCCCGGGTGTGGACCTACGCATCACCTGTTAAGCCATACTGTGGCAGGCATCCCACACATAAAGTAAAGGAGGATTGGCAGCAGATGTTAGCTCAGGGCCAGTCTTCCTAAAAAAAAGAAGTTTTTATTGTTCCTGAAAATGGGAATGTAAGAAAAACATAATTATCAGAATGTGATGTAAGAAAGTAAATGCCTCAAGGAATACAGTAGACATCCCGCTCCTTGTCTAGAGGCAGGTCCTCCCCCGATGTTCCCTTCTCACCCGCTGTGCTCCAGCCTGCCTCAGCTTCTCCCTCCTCCACCTCATCAGCATGGTCAGCAGAGGCCCTTCTAGAGATGAAAGCAGCTCAGACCAGGAATGGGGGTGTGCAAATTCACAGGGCAAAAACCCTGATCCTCACTTGGATGTGCTAGTTGGCAGGGAACTGACTCAGAGAAAAGGGTGTGGCAGCTCTTCTAAGATTAGATCCACCCTCTATGGTGTCTGTGTGTGTATCTGTGTGTTTGTGAGTGTGTTCCCAATGACTTTTCTGCTTGAAACTTGTGACTGCTGAGGGCTTTCCCACATAACCTCTTAGTCGCAATTCACTTGCTGGAATGTCTTCTTCTCTAACACCCTAAGCACCAGCCACTCTGGCCCACCAGCCAGTCCTCACCATCGCGCTTCCAGGCTTTCTGTGCTGGCCTATCCTCTGTCAGGTAGTCTGGTTGCCACTGGTCACGACCCTGTGGAACTTCAGAGCTGAGCACAAATATCATCTCCCGTTAAGTCTTCCTTACCCTGCTGTTTTAGTCACAGTTCTCCAGAGACCCAGGACCGGATTGATGTGGAGAGAGAGAGAATGACTAGAAGGAATGGGCTCATTTGATAACGGAGGCCATCGAGTCCACAATCTGCCGTGTAGACTGGCTCCCTGGAGCCCAGGGGAGCCAATGCTGCAGATGAAGTCTGAAGGCAGTCTGATGGGGCATTCCCTCTTCTTAGGGGACGTCAGTCATATTGTCCCTTCCAGGCCTTCAACAGATTTGACAAGACCTACTGACATCGTGGAGGACAATCTCCTTTACTCCAAGTTCACCAATTTAAATGTTCATCTCATCCAAATCGTTCTCCAAATTGACAGATAAAATTTCCCATCACACATCCCCAAGATAATGAATCATCTTCTCTGCCCTCCTCTGGGTCCTCACACCTGAGGCCGCAGTAAGCACATCACACTTGGTGAGAGGGATTTGTATACTCGTGTGCTCCACATTCACGTGGGCATTGGGAATACAATTTGTCCCCGTATCACTTTTGCTACAGAGCCTAGGAACATGCTGTTGCTCATTCACTCTGAGATCAATGAAGTCCCTTGAGGAACAGGAGCTGAGAGAGGGCTCTCCTCCTGCATGGGGCCCACTTTACAGCACAACCATCCATGGTGAAAGCGTACCCGAATCTATGAGTCTAATTGCACCTCCACTCACTTCATCGCTATGAATGCTGCCCATCCCCCACAGTGAAGCCCCAATGCATCCTCATCTTGGTCTTTGTGAGGGTGGCGGATGTGGTGAGCCAAAATGAGAGGGAGGTTGGGGTCCAGTGGGCCCTGCCTGCTGGGAGGGTCTTTGCCTCCTGTGAGGACTGGGGAGACCCTGAGTCCCACTCTGCCCCATCCATGAGCCTTTTCCCCTTCCAATGAGGAAAATACACTAAGGCCTCCTACTGCACATGTTCTCCATGTGGAGAGGATGAGCTCCAGGGGAGGAGAAGTCCCCAACATCCGGAGGCTGTGGGAATGTGGAGGAGGCCCGTGCCAGGACACAGGGCCTGGGTGCACTTGAGGACAGGGACATAGGATGGCAGCAAATTCTGTGAAATGCCAGGTATAAAGGAGGTTAGAAGGTTCTGGCCTGATTTGCTAGGTTCTTTTTGCAGGAGGGGCCTGTGCTGGGTGGTGTGGAAGATCAGAGAAACACAGGGAGTGGGCAGGACCCAGGTTTGTGTGGGGCAAGGTCTTGGTGGGCCCAGGTGATCTGTGTGTGGGAAGAGACTCCCATGCATAGGGCTGGGGGACAGGAGCCTGGGTTGAATCCCTGGGAGGGGGCAACCAGGAAGGGCCTGGCAGCCCAACCGGGTGAGGTGGGTGAAGTGGGCAATTGACTGGGAGAACAGGAGGAGGGCAGAAGGCTGGCATTAGATCAATGGTGGGATGGCCTGGTGGGAGGAGGACAGGCCTCTGTGGGAACCTGGGCTGTTCCCGGCTCACCTCCATGCAGGCTCCTGGTCCCTAGACTCACACCAGGCCCCAGATTGTGAGGAATTGGCTCCTGAAGCAATTTTAATGGAAGTGCACTATAGATCACACTTCCAGAAACAGGAATTGGGTATCTGGATGAAATTCTGGCTGCTTTCCCTCTGCTATCTTCTTCATCTTTCATTGCATCAATTTCCACATTTGTAACTTACGAAATGCTGCCTCAGGGAATGACAAGAGATTCAATGAAGACATGGTCCAGGTGACCCTGAGAGGACTCAGGTGCAAGCATCATGCTGAGGACTCACCTCAGGTCTCCTAACTCAGGTGTGAGTGCTGCCTGGTCGGGAGTCCTGGACCAGGGTCGCTGGTGATGAGAGAAACAGACCATGCACTGCATTCCTCTGTCACTTCAAGCGCCTTTGACTTGTGGAATTAAAGCCCCATCAGGCCCTACTGGGGAGAAATCAAGCATCTTTCTCACCCTCAACATGCGATTGTTTCCCTCCTCATGTCCTGGTGAGTCCACAATTGCTGCAATGCCTGGCGAACAGTGTGAGAAGCTCACAGCCACAGAGGCTAAACCAGCAGTGCAGGATCAGCGGCCCGGGGAGGAGAACCCTCTAGATGCCTCCAGGTTGCTCCAGAGCCGCTTTGAATCCTTGCCTGCAGCAGAAACTCCTAAATACACATTTGGAACTCTGCACCCCAAACTTTCCCAAACACGGGTTAATTTATTTACAAAAAGGTCTTGGGCTCCGCTGGGATCAAAACTACTAGAAAACATTCTGTCGATGACAGGACAGCTAAGGGCTGTGTTCAGCCCCTTTCATTAAGACGGGAGTGTTCTCGAGAAGGAAAATCTTGTGTCATTTAAGAAGAGAGGAAAGATTGTGAACACGGGACAGAGACGGGAGGGCCAGGGGTGGGGTGCAGGAAAGAAGGGCTGAGGGGCAGGGGGAAAAGGGAGAGAGACTTCGGTTACAGGAGGAGACTGGAAATAATGAGTAACGCGAGTCACCAGACCCACCAGACCCAGACCAGGAGAACGACGGACGCTAGGTGAGGGATGGGAGGCGAGCAATGACGCAAGGAGTCGCCTGGCAAGGCTGGGAAGGCGGGCGAGGAGGGCGAGGAGGGCGGGCCCTGGGGAATAGCTCAGGAGACAAAGTCCGGCCCCGTGCACAGAACACTTAGTCTGCGGCCGACGGGACCGAGAGCTGGGTTCCCATCCCCGTTGCAAGTAGCCATGGGGTGGACCGCGGCCTCCAAGTTCTGTCTCGGCCTCCTGCCCCTGCTCCTGCTCCCGCAGCGGGACTGGCCCCGGGCGGCACGTGAGTTCGGGATGGAAGCTGCGGGGAAGTGGGGTGGGCGATGGATTAGGACCGGCGAGGGGATGTGGGGGCTCACGGGCGCTCGGGTGCCTTCTTGGGCAGTGGGGCCGCTGTCTCCCCTTAAGTTTCCACCGCAGGCTCGCGTCCCCCCCCCGCCCAGTGGTTGTCGCCTCTGGGCAAGGGGTGGGCGGGGAAGAGAGGCGACTCTGGCGAATAAGAAATGCGGGAAAACGAGCATAGGGGTTGGGTGCAGGGGAGGGAGAGAGGGCGCGGCGGGAAAGGCTGCTGAACCCCCAGGGCACCCGAGGCTTGGTCAGGACAGGGGACATTCCCGCAGGGACGCAGGGACGCGAACCCCAGACACCATGTGCCCTTCTCTGCTCACACCACTGTCCCCACACACCCTCCATCCTGCCCACCGCTCTCCCCCAGGAACTTCCCAGCGATCCTGCCCAGTGGCTCACCGCACCTGCAGACCCAGCCACTGTCCCTCCAGAGTCCCTGCTCCTCCACCCCAGCTCACAGCCTCTCACTGCTCACCTCACCTTGTCCCCATGCACCGCGGTGCCTCCCAACACCTTCCCAAATGGGAACTGTCCCCAGTCGCCTCTCTACCAACTGATCCCTTATCCCCTTGCCTGAGGACACAGTCCAGCAAAAGCCTCCATTCCTGGGCCCCAGAACCTGGAGTAGAAGGGAAGGGAGGCCCAGGCTTGGATTCTGCCGGGCAGACACCTCCTGCTGCTCCTTCTCCTCCTCCTCCTCCTTCTGCATCAAGGGAGGAGCACTAACCTCCCACTGCTGGGTGGGCGGGGCCGGACAGAGGCACGTATGCTCTGCAGCCCAGCCCTTCAGAGACTCTCTGGCGGTCCCAGAGTGGAGGCGGTCAGGGAATGCCTAGGGGTCCTTTTCTCCCTACCCCAGCGCTCACCTGCGTTTTTCCTTCACAGACGCTCCCTCTCTTTGCTATGAGTTCACCCTCATTCCTAAGCCCAGCCCTGGACAATCCTGGTGTGAGGTTCAAGGCCAGGTCGATGAAAAGACTTTCCTTTCCTATGACTGTGGCAGCCAGGAGGTCAAATCCTTGAGTCTCCTGGGAGAGGAGGTAAAAGGCACGAGGGCCTGGCAAGAACAGGTGGAAACGCTGAGAGACGTGGGGAACTTGCTCAGACAGCAACTGCTGGACGTTAAACCGGAGAAACACACGGACAGGGGTAAGTGAGAAAGTCCAAGTGCAGGAGAGAGCAGGTTGTGGGGTTAGGTGCGTTGATTGTACTCATGTTAAAAAAAAAAAAAAATACAGGGGGCTGGCCCCGTGGCCGAGTGGTTAAGTTGGCGCACTCCGCTGCAGGAGGCCCAGTGTTTCATTGGTTCGAATCCTGGATGTGGACATGGCACTGCTCATCAGACCACGCTGAGGCAGCTTCCCACATGCCACAACTAGAGGGACCCACAACTAAGAATATACAACTATGTACCAGGGGGCTTTGGGGAGAAAAAGAAAAAAATAAAATCTTAAAAAAGGGCCCCAGAGGTGCTGGACAATGGGGTGGTTGGGGGCAAATGATTAGTCCAGAACAGAGGCTGACCTCTTTCCCACGGTGGGGACAGACCCTCTCCCGCTGCAGGGCAGGATGCTGTGTCAATGTGAAGCCAATGGACACACGCGCGCATCCTGGCAGTTCGGCTTCCATGGACAGATGTTCCTTCTCTTTGACTCGGAGAACAAAACCTGGACTGTGCTTCACCCTAGAGGCAGACGGATGAAAGAGAAGTGGGGGAGTGACAGGGATGTGACAGAGTTCTTCAGGAAGATCTCCATGGGCGACTGCAGGAGCTGGCTTGAAAGTTTCCTGGTGCACTGGGAGAAAATGCTGGAGACAACAGGTACCTGAGAAGAGGAGGAGGAAGGGGCAGCTCTCTGGACACCAGAGCAACACACCCTATAGTGTGTTGGGGGTGGGTGTTGAAAGAGTGATCCATCGTGGTGAGGTCTTCCTGGGAGACTAATTTCCATAGGTCGCTTCTACCACCCTTCCTCTCCCTTCTCACTCCTGGCATCTCTTCCTCACTGCACATGCCTCTGGTCCACTCACCGTGGATTTCTGGCTGACCCCAAACATGAGGGCATCCTTCTGTGTCCAGACCTTTTCTTCTTACTGTTCCCTCTTCTTAGCTTCATTTTCCTTTTGCATCTCAACTGGTTTATTTCTGGAAACCCTTCAATCCCACCCCAAATGTCAGCTCCTGAGAGGACTTCCCTACCACCACCCTCAGGTGTCACCTCCTCCTCTGTCACAGCAGCAGTGATTGGCGACATTGTCACTCTTGTTTGCTTCATTAGCTAGATGAGTCCCTTGGGAACAGGGCCCATCTCCTCTCTCTTCCTACCTCAGGGCCTGTCACAGCAGCTGCCACAAGTAGAGGGGGAGAAAATGTCCGCATTGTAGGTGTCTGGGGCAGCAGGGGTTGAGGAAGAGTCTCTTCACATTTAGGGTCTGGACAAAGGCTGTCACTCTTCCTTTTCCATTTCAGCATCACCAACTGTGGCCGCAGTTAAAGGCCAATCCAGGGCCACAGTCATCACACCCATCGCCTGGATCCTCCTGGTGACTCTCAGCTGCTCTATTCTCCTTGGCATCCGAGGCTGAGTCCTTCACGGTAACAGGTATTGAGAGCAGATAGCCTGATGTGAGGGCCCGGGAAAAGGTATATTCTCAGCCCAACCTTGCGCCTGCACTGAACTTTCTCATCATGGGAATGCGACCAGGAGACTAAGGCCTCATACTGTTCCATAGCAATAACTTGGACAAGCTCAGCCCTGGGTTCTGCTATCTCCTCACTGGAAAGGCCAGTGGGAAAGGGGAGGGGCCCGCCCCAAGGCTTAGGGCCTGTTGATGCTAAAGGGGTTTAGCAAAGTCAGGCCTGACTCAGACCAGATTCCCTGTTTGGGAGAGTCTATTTGGGCCCAGTGGGAGGAGGTGTGGGGACAGCAGGGACACAATTCAGAGGCAGGACTCACATTTGAGTAAGAGCTGCATGGTGGCTCCACAGTATGTGTCAAGGGGAAGAGGACTCATCCAGGGGACTAAGAGCAGAGGGGCCTGGGTCTAAGCCCAGGAGGAGGGCTGGGAAGGCCTTGCAGCCTCAACTCAACAGGCTGGAGTGCAGGGCTGCGTGCCCACAGAGGGTGCCTTGGCTCCCAGCAGGTCAGGCAGAAGGAGAATAGTAGAGCCTGTGTAGGAGGAGATCGGGAGGAGGCCAGTTCTCCATGGAACAAGGGGAATTCTGACTCAGCCTGTTGCATCACTTGGCAGCCAGGCTCCTGCAGACCCCCGATCCTGAGCCACTGAGTGGTGCCTCCCTGGAGCAGAGGTGACTCAGGGGATAGGTGGGACTGAGCTGCTGTTGATGCTCACAGCAGAGCTGGACCAGGAATGGATGAGGTGGGCTCAGGGACCATCACACTGAGAGCTCTGTGTGCTGCTAGCTAAGAGGCTAGGAGAGGAGGAAATGAAGGATGTTTGCCTGCAGCCCTCCCCAAGGCCACAGGTGTCAGGATGCAGGCCCTTCTCTTCCATCAGAGCTCCCACCAGGTCCTTTAGGCCCTCCCATCAGAGGGAGAATCAGGACCTGAGTAAAGGGAGCAGGTGATTCATTACTTGATCTAGTCGTGAATGTCAACATTTGGTAGCAGAGCCTGGGGCTGCCTGTGGTGTGGGAAAGGGTGGGGGAGATTGGGACAAGCTGGTGGAACCAGGGAGCAGGTGACAGGTGGGGAGAAATACAGTGAGGGCTGTACTCAAGATGAGGAGTGAGTGGGAAGCTGACCCTGGAGACCTGACCCAGGATTTCCTCAGCCACTTCGACCAACACTGTTTCTTTTCTGAAGGCTGATGATGCTCCCGAGGAGGTCCTGGGTGTGTGGTCCGTGTCACGACTCTGCCTTTTGTTTGGCTGCCTTTGGATCACCTGCTGTTCATTTCAAGACCACCAGGAGCTCAGACCTTACAAATCCAGAGACCACCATGAGATCACGATGAGACAATCTATGCGACATCTCAGGTCCCTTACTGCATTGGGCGGTTCTCCTATTCAGTGCCTTTTGTTAACATATAGTGCCCCTTCTTCTTGGTGCTCAGTGGTGGGATTCCTGCACTTCAACCTGAACTACTTGAACAAGAAATATGAGGAATATGAAGGAGAACAGTTTCCATCTTGTCTGCATCGTGACCCTGTTCTTGTAAATGATATTGTCAGAAAATTATCATGTCAGACTGCAGAACCTCAGGGATTCTTTCTCTGTTCTGAAAACCTCCTTGTCTTTTCAATGGAACAATGTTTTGTTAATGATTTTTGCCTTTAGTAACTTACTACCCTTCAATGACATTTAATTAAATATCTCTATAATCTAAAATACTTACTTATTTTTGAATTTTCTTTTATCACCCAGTAGAGATTTCATGGCATCGCTATTCCTCCACATTGCAGGGCACTTACAGCTGGTGATTCTGCTAGATTTTGTGGCAACAGAGAATTGAAGGATCCCTCTGAAATGAACAAGAAGTCCAGCTGTCGGTCTCCAGTTTATCCTGATGCCCCGGTAGAAACAAATATTCTGGGACTTAAGGAAGGAGGATCTTCCTGATTTCAGCCCAGATCCCCCGCCCCAGCAGTGACTGTCCTGTGATCCCTCCACCCTGGCTCGCCTCCTTCAGTGAGAAGTCCGTCTTCACAGCAGAAGCAGCTCTACTTCTAAGAGTTGTTTTCTTTCCCCTCAGACACAGGATCAGTATCCAGAATACGTAGTGACCTCCCACAAATCCGTAAGGAAAAGTCCGAGTCTCCTAACATTTGAACAAATGTTTTGAGAAGTTCAGAGATGGTGAATAAGCCTGTGAGAAGGTGGAACATGTCCCAAATCATCAAGATCACACAGAAGAACACTGGGTACCCTTATATACCCAGTGAATGGACACACTGTGAAATGGACACATCAAGTCATGGACAGGAAATGGAATAGCAGGAGTTCTCCTACACTGTTAGTAGGAGTATAAATGGAGTCACTCCTTTGACATGTATTTTACCAGATCCCCACAGTGGACGATGTGTTCTTCCTATGACACGGCCATCCCGGTGTTAATTCCAGGCTGGCAAACGTGGACCCCAGAGCGTGTGGAGATATTGTTCATTGCTGTGCTGCGTGACTTAGCAAAAACTAGCATTAAGATATCCAGCTGAAGCAGGATACATTTTTTAAAATGGCTAAAAGATTTCTATTTCTATTTCAGAGCAGATTATCTGAAATTCTCTTAAAAATAAAACCACTACATGACAGATACAGAACTTTTAAACCTTTCCAATATATATTTGAAAACTTCTGGTTGACAAACAATAGCAGTGTTCGCATGAATCCAAATCTCTCCACATACATTTAAAAATTACCCAGGTCAACAAAAGGGGCAAAGAAAATACCTTAACCCACATCTTCAGCTGATAAAGGACATGAAAAATACCTCAATCTGTCAGTTCCTTTGACTTGAAAGAAGATTATTATGACAATGTTGAAACTTGTGGTGATTATGTTGTTGTGATGTAGGGGAGTGGCCTGCTTGGGAAATACGGACTAAGTATATGGCATCAGAGGACATCACGAAAAGTGGGGGACATCAATGCGACAGCTCATTGTTATATGGTTCAGCAAGAGATGTGCTCTGCACAGTACTCACAACTTCTGTATCACTTTAGGGTTGTATCAAAAGTTTTAGTTGGAGGCCAGCCCCGTGGCACAGCAAAGTTCACACGTTCCGCTTTGGCCACCTGGGATTCACTGATTCGGGTCCCGGGTGCCGACCTACACACGGCTTGTCAAGCCATACTGTGGCAGGCATCCCACATATAAAGTAGAGGAAGATGGGCATGGATATTAACTCTGGGTCAGTCATCCTCAGCAAAAAGAGGAGGATTGGCGGCAGATGTTAGCTCAGCGCCAGTCTTCCTAAAAAAAAAAAGTTTCTATTGTTCCTGAAAATGGGAATGTAAGAAAAACTTAGTTATCAGAATGTGATGGAAGAAGGTAAATGCCTCAAGAAATACAGTAGACATCCCGCTCCTTGTGTAGAGGCAGGTCCTCCCCCGATGTTCCCTTCTCACCCGCTGTGCTCCAGCCTTCCTCAGCTTCTCCCTCCTCCACCTCATCAGCATGGTCAGCAGAGGCCCTTCTAGAGATGAAAGCAGCTCAGACCAGGAATGGGGGTGTGCAAATTCGCTGTTACAGATCCTGAGCCTCACTTGGATGCACTAGTTGGCAGGGAACTGACTCAGAGAAAAGGGCTTAGCAGCTCTTCTGAGCTTAGACCCATCCTGTACAGTGTTTGTGTGTGTGTGTGTGTGTGTCTGTCTGTCTGTCTGTCTGTGTTTGTGAGTGTGTTCCCAATGACTTTTCTGCTTGAAACTCGTGACTGCTGAGGGCTTTCCCACATATCCTTTTAGTCGCATTTCGCCTGCTGAAATCTCTTCCTCTCCAATACCCTAAGCACCAGCCACTCTGGCCCACCAGCCAGTCCTCACCATCGTGCTTGCAGGCTTTCTGTGCTGGCCTATCCTCTGTCAGGTAGTCTGGTTGCCACTGGTCACGACCGTGTGGAACTTCAGAGCTGAGCACAAATATCATCTCCCATTAAGTCTTCCTTACCCTGCTGTTTTAGTCACAGTTCTCCAGAGACCCAGGACCGGATTGATGTGGAGAGAGAGAGACTGATGAGAAGGAATGGGCTCATGTGATAACGGAGACCATCGAGTCCACAATCTGCCGTGTAGACTGGCTCCCTGGAGCCCAGGGGAGCCAATGCTGCAGATGAAGTCTGAAGGCAGTCTGATGGGGCATTCCCTCTTCTTAGGGGACGTCAGTCATATTGTCCCTTCCAGGCCTTCAACAGATTTGACAAGACCTACTGACATCGTGGAGGACAATCTCCTTTACTCCAAGTTCACCAATTTAAATGTTCATCTCATCCAAATCGTTCTCCAAATTGACAGACAAAATTTCCCATCACACATCTCCAAGATAATGAATCATCTTCTCTGCCCTCCTCTGTGTCCTCACACCTGAGGCCGCAGTAAGCACATCACACTTGGTGAGAGGGATTTGTATACTCGTGTGCTCCACATTCACCTGGGCATTGGGAATACAATTTGTCCCCGTATCACTTTTGCTACAGATCCTAGGACATGCTGTTGCTCAGTCACTCTGGGATCAATGACTTCCCTTGAGGAACAAGAGCTGAGAGAGGGCTTTCCTCGTGTGTGGGGCCCACTTTACAGCACAACCATCCGTGGCGAAAGCATACCTGAATCTATGAGTCTAATTGCACCTCCACTCAGTTCATTCCTATGAATGCTGCCCATCTCCAACAGTGAAGCCCCAATGCATCCTCATCTTGGACCTTGTGAGGATAGCAGATATTGTGAACAGAAATGAGAGGGAGGTTGGGGTCCAGTGGGCCCTGCCTGCTGGGAGGGTCTTTGCCTCCTGTGAGGACTGGGGAGATCCTGAGTCCAACTCTCCCCCATCCATGAGCCTTTTTGCCTTCCAATGAGGAAAATACACTAAGGCCTCCTACTGCACATGTTCTCCATGTCGAGAGGATGAGCTCCAAGGGAGCAGAAGTTCCAGCGTCTAAGGCTGTGGGAATGTGGAGGAGGCCCGTGCCAGAGCACAGGGCTTGTGTGCACTTGAGGACTGGGACGTGGGATAGCAGCAAATTCTGTGAAATGCCAGGTATAAAGGAGATGAGAAGGTTCTGGCCTGATTCCCTAGGGTCTCTATGCAGGAGGGGCCTGTGCTGGGTGGTGTGGAAGATCAGAGACACACAGGGGCACGGCAGGTCCCAGGTTTGTGTGGGGCAAGGTCTTGGTGGGCCCAGGTGATCTGTGTGTGGGAAGAGACTCCCATGCATAGGGCTGGGGACAGGAGCCTGGGTTGAATCCCCGGGAGGAGGCAACCAGGAAGGGCCTGGCAGCCCCACCCATGAGGCTCAGGGAAGTGGGCAAGTGACTGGGAGAACAGGAGGAGGCAGAAGACTGGCAGTAGAGACCTGGCAGGATGGCCTGGTGGGAGGAGGACAGGCCTCTGTGGGAATCTGGGCTCCTCCCGACTCACCCCCACGCAAACACCTGGTCCACAGCAGACCCCAAGTTGGGTGGAATAGGCTCCTGAAGAAATGTTAATGGATATAGACTATAGATCACAATTACAGAAGCAGGAATCAGGAATCTGGATGAAATTCTGGCTTCTTTCCCTATGTTAGCTGCTTCATCTTTCATTCCATCCATTTCCTCATTTGTAACACAGGAGACGCTATCTCAGGGAATGACAAGCGATTCAATGAAGACATGGTGCAAGTGGCCCTGAGCCACACTTGCTGAGGACTCCCCTCACGTCTCCTAGGAAAGTCATGGGCCAGGGTCCCTGGTGATGAGAAAGATGGACCATGCGCTGCCTTCCTTTCTCACCTGAGGTGTCTTTGATGTGCAGAAAAACCCCCAAACACAAGACCCACCAAACAAGAATCAAGAATCTCTCAGGCTCAGCAGTCTGTGGTTTACCTCTTCATCCCCACATGAGCCTCTTTCAAAAGCTTTACTCTTTTTCTCCCCTCCTCCCACTTTTTATGTTTTGAAATCATATCTAATCTAATCATTTTGTGTGTGTCTACCCATTACCCTCTTATCATTGAAATAGGTAATTTTAGTACTTCTGTCTTTTGACTTCCATATTATCTTCATAGGTGGTTCATCTGCTACCTTTACTGTATTTGTGACTTTGCCGGTGATTTTATTGCCTGGGGTGTTTTTTTTTTTTTTTTTGATGATTTTCTTATTCCTATTTGTGATCTTCTCTTTCCCACTTAAAGAAGTCCCTTTAGCATTTCTTGTAGAACTGGTTTCTTGGTGATAAATTCCTTTAACTTTTGCTTGTCTGCAAAGCTCTTTATCTCTCCTTCCTTTCTGAATGATAACCTTGCCAGGTAGAGTACTTTTGGCTGTAGATTTTTTCTTTTCAGCATTTTAAATGTATTGTGCCAATCACTTCTAGCTTGTGGGATTTCAGCTGAGAAGTCAGCTGATAGCCTTATGGAGTTTCCTTTGTTTGTATCACTTGTTGCCTTTCTCTTGCAGCTTTTAGGATTCTCTCTTTATCTTTCATTTTGGACATTTTAATTATAATGTGTCTTGGTGTGGGCCTCTTTGGGTTTATCTTGTTTGGTGCTCTCTATGCTTCCTGTACTTGGATGTCTGTTTCCTTCCTTAGGTTAGGAAACTTTTCAGCTATTATTTCTTCAAATAGCTTCTCTGCCTCTTTGTCTCTCTCTTCTCCTTCTGGGACACCTATATTACCAATGGTAGTGCACTTGATATAGTCCCAGAGTTTCCTTAGACCATTCTCATTCTTTTAAATTCTTTTTTCTGTTATCTGTTCAGCTTGGGTGATTTCCTCTAGTCTTTGGTCCAGCTCAATGATCCACTTAATCTGCTATTGAGTCCCTCTAGTGAACTTTTCATTTCCAGTACTGTGTTCTTCATTTCTGATTGGTTCCTTTTTATATTTTCCAGTTCTTTGTTGATGTTCTCACTGTGTTCATTCAATCTTCTCCCAAGATCAGTGAGCATCCTTATGACTTTTGTTTGAACTCTTTGTTCAGGTAGATTTCTTATTTCCATTTCATTTAGTTCTTTTTCTGGGGTTTTGTCCTGTTCCTTTGCCTCCTCATTTTGTCTCTTTCTCTGCACTTATACCTATGTATTATGTGAGTCTGCTACATCTGCTAATCTTGAAGAAGTGGCCTTATGTAAGAGACACCTTTTGAGGCCCAGCAGTGTGCTCCCCTCTTGTCACCAGTCTAAATGTTCCAGGAAGAACCCCAGTGTGGGCTACATGTGTCCTCCTGCTGTGGTAGGGTTGCCCTGATTGCAGGTACCCACTGAGTCTAGGTAGTTCCCCCTCTAAACCAGCTTTTGTAAATTGGGTTTGGGGAGCCCTAGCACAGTTGGCTGCAAGGTTTAATAACACACTCCTGTTGCAGTTATTCTATTAAGTGAGTAGGCACCCAGTGTGGCTGGTTGCTAGGCTCAAAGACTTACAATTGCTGTAGGCATCAGGCCTGCAAGGCTGTTGTCAGCCCTCTCAGGTTTGCAGTGAAGTGGGGATGGCCCCAGGCATGGGAGCACCCAATTGTTTCAGGCTTTGGAAAGCAGGGCTGATCCCCTATGAGGCTGTTTGTGAAGCATAGGTCTTCTGCCACTGATAAGCCCCACCCTCCACAGGTCCACACACATTGTCAACACAGTCCTGGTCCTTTCACACTTCCTGAGCTCCTGAGGCATACCCAGTTACCCTACTGCAGAGGCTCCCACACACTCCACCAGTGCCCCACACACTCCACCTGCTCCTCATGCAGTCCCTGCCCCACAGAGGCAGACACACTCACCTGCCTGCAGAGGATTGAGGCACTCAGTCAGTGCAGGCCAAGTAGACTGAGGGCTTGCTGTTGGGTGGGGCCAGTCCCTAGGGTAGCCTCCCTGCCCTGGCTGAGCTGGATTAAATCTGTGCTCTGGTAGATGTGGCAGACTCCTGGGCTAGCAGGCCAGGGGAAGAACTCCAATGGAGTCTGCCAGTGTCTATGTCAGCACACCTGTACTATGTCACAACAATGGCTGCCACCAATATCTCAGTCTCTGGAGAGGTCTCACCTCTCACTGAGATGCACCCAGAGGCTACCAGGTAAGCCTCTTTTCACCAAAGGACTGCACACTTTTCTTTCTGGTGATTTTAGTTTGCTTTCTGACATGGGTGAATTTGTGTCTGGTCCCTTTAAGAGCTGTGTTATTCTGCTTATGTCCTATAGCTTTTCTGGGAGTATTCCCCATTGCAGTTAACAGCAAGTAAAGGCAGATACTATGGCACTTGTCTCAGCTGTGCTGAGTCTGAAGGATGCTCATAGCAGTAATATGCCCCTGCTCAGGTCCCATGCTCCTCCAGGGAAGGCTGAGCACCTTAGGTTTGCTCCCAGCCCATCGTGAAGCTCCACAGCTCACAAAGGTGGCTTTTTTCTGTCCAGAAGAAATTTCTGCCTCTTCCACCTCAGTCAGGATTGTCCCTTGTTGTGGAGATTCTTTTTATCTGGTTTTCTGTTCTCTCTCTGGAGTAATTTTTCCAAGAATAGTTGTAACATGGTTGTGTTCATGGGAGCAGGTGAGTTCAGAGTCCGTCTATGCCACCATCTTGATGGGATCTCTAAATACTTTTCTTTAACTCAGTATATATGACTCAAGTTTTTATTTAACCCCAGTTATTATTTCAACATGTTATCAATATTAAAAAATAATAATGAGACATTTTTATGCTAAATCTTTGAAATCTGGTGTGACTTTTACACTACAGTACATCTCAGTTTGGGCTACCCAGACTTCAAGTGCTCAATAGCCAAATGTGGTGAAGACTACCTGTTAGATCTTGCAGCTTTAGATTTTAGAATTATCAGGCAGGTATTTTAAAATAACTATGCTTACTATGTTTAATGAGCTAAGAAAAAAAAATGAAAAATTCAATACTGAATTGGAAATTATATAAAAGTGATAGAGGATATTTGAATTATGGAATAATCCAAAACCGTAAAATTGAATAACTGAAATTAACAACTCACTGGATGCCTTTAGTAGCAGCTTATACACACCCGAGGAGAGAGCTGGTCAACTGGATTGATCATCAGAAAAAATTATGTAGAATGAGGTACAGAAAGACAAAAGGGTGGAAGAATCCAGAAGAAAGAGAAGAGACATAGCAGACACATGAGAGGGTTTACCGCACATTAATTGGAGTCCTAGAGGGAGAGGTAAGAGGCAATAGGGAGAAGCTGTTTTTGAAGAGATAATGGCTGGGAATTTTTCAAGACTAATTAGAAATCTGTTGTCACTTTCATTGTCTTTCCATTGACGAGAATCTTAGGAAAGGTTGCTTTAAAATTTTCCTTCTTCAAGTTTTTCTCTTTGAAGCTCTTGAAGATGTTGTGCAATTTCACCACAACGTGCCTAGGAGCGACCTGATCTTTATATATCTTACTTGGGATTTATTGTGTTTCCAGAAATGGAAGATTAATGTCTTTCACAAAATCTGGAAAATACTTAGCTATCAGCTCTTTGAAAGTTTCCTCTCCCTCATTTTCTCTCTTCTCTGCTTTTGGAAGCCCTGTTAGATGTAAGTTGGACCATTTCATTGTAGATCGCTATTTTCTACCTCTCTCTTTAGTTTCAGAATGAAACTCTCACCACTGAGTTTTGAATGAGTTTTCAAATTAATCATCCAGTTCACTGATGCTCTATTGAAACTAGGTCTAATACGCTGGTTCACCAATATGTTGAGTTTTTAATTTTAAACTTTCATTGTTAGAAGTTTTGTCTCGTTCTATTTCAAATATAGCTGGTCTTTTATGATAGCGTCTCATTATTTGAAATGTTTTTATTCATTCCTTACACTTTAATGATTTAAATACAGATATTTTACAGTTTCATTGATAGTTTTATATCTGTATTTCCTGAGGACCTAACCTGCACTGTTGAATGGGCTTATTTCACTTACTGTGGGTTGAGTCTTGATGTGTTCTGTAAGTTTAAAACATGAGCTTTTCTTTTGACTTCATAAAACTTGGAAGCAATAACTTTCACAAGCTAACCCCTGAGTTCATATATCTCTTCACTGGAAAGGATAGAAGAAAAGAGGAGGGGCCCACACTAAGGTTTAGGGCCTGTTGATGCTAAAGGGGTTTAGCAAAGTCAGGCCTGACTCAGACCAGAATCCCTATTTGGGAGAGTCTCTTTGGGCCCAGTGGGAGGTAAGGTGGGGAGAGCAGGCTCACAAGTCAGGGGCAGGACTCACATTTGAGTGAGAGCTGCATGGTGGCTCCATGTGATGTGTCAAGGGGAAGGGGACTCCTCCAGGGGGCTAAGAGGAGAGGGGCCTGGGTCTAACCCCGGAAGGAGGGCTGGGAATGCCTTGCAGACTCATGTCTAAAGGCTGGAGTTCAGGGCTGTGTTGTCGCAGAAAGAGCAGCTTTGAATCCTTTTGTGCCACAAAAACTTGGAAATACAAAGTCGGAACACAGCTCCCCAAACTTTCGCAAAGAGGAGTTATTTTGTTTACCAAAAGGTCTTGGGCTCCAATGGGATCAAAACTACTAGAAAACGTACCGTCGATGACAGGACAGCTAAGGGCTGTGTTCAGCCCCTTTTTCTAAAACCGGAGTGTTCTCGAGAAGGAAAATCTTGCGTGGTTTAAGAAGATCAGCAATGATTGTGAATGTGGAATAGAGACAGGAGGGCCAGGAGGATGGGTGCAGGCAAGAAGGGCTGAGGGGCAGGAGGGGCCTAATTTGAGTTACAGGAGGAGATAATTTGAGTTACAGGAGCATCACCAGATCCAGACCAGGCGAGGAGGGACTAGGTGGCGCGGGGCCAGGGGCGTGGTGAGCGGCGCCCAGGAAACCCCGGGTTCCGGTTCGTGTTGGGCAGCGCAGCGCAGAGCCAGCCAGGAGAGAAGGAGCCCGCCCAGGGTATGCGGGGGAGGGAGGAGCGCCGCGGGCCAGGGCGGGGCGAGGCGACCCAGGCGACGCGCGGCGACACCGGCGATGAGCCTTTGCGCCGTTGCGCTGTGGCCAGTGAGGGCGGGCCTTGAGAGCTCCCGAGATAAAGTCCGGTCCGCTGCTCACGGGCCAGAAGGTACTCAGGTTGCCTGACAGCCTACCGGGCTCTGCGCGCAGCTGGGTCCCCGTCCCCGCTGCAGGTAGTAATGGGGTGGACTGCGGGCATCAAGTTCACTCCGGGCCTCCTGCTCCTGCTCCTGCTCCCGCAGCGGGACTGTCCCCGGGCGGCACGTGAGTTCGGGATGAAGCTGCGGGGAAGTGTGGTGGGAGATGGATTAGGACGGGGAAGGGACGCGGGGGCCCACGGGCGCTGCCGTCTCCCCTTAAGTATTTATCGCGGGCTCTCGTCCTCTCGGTGGTTGTCGCCTGTGCGAAAGGGGAGAGCGGAGAAAGGAGAGAATTTGGAGAATAAGAAACGCAGGAGAAAGGGAGGGGGAGGGCGTGGCGGGAAAGGCTGCTGAAGCCCCCAGGGCCCATCCCACCCGCCCCTCCAGAAGTGGGAGCCTGGGCTCTTGACACCCGGGGGCATGGTCAGGACAGGGGTGTTCCCGCAGGGTCATAACCTCAGAAGCAGCCTGCCCTCCTCTGCTTACACCACTGTCCCCACAGACCCTCCATCCTCCCCACCGCTGTCCCCTGGGAGGTTCCCAGCGCGCTTGGCCAGCAGCTCACGGCACGTGTAGCCCCAGCCACTGTCCCTCCGGAGTCCCTGCTTCCCAGCCCCAGCTCACAGCCTTTCACTGCCCTCCTCACCCCGTCTCCATGCACCCCACGGCCTCCAACACCTTCCCAAATGGGAACTGCCCCCAATCACCTCTCCACCAACTGGCCCCTTATCCCCTTGTCTGAGGACACAATCCAGCAAAAGCCCCCACTCCTGGCCCCCAGAACGTAGAGTAGGAGGGACGGGAGGCGGGGGCGTGGTTCCTGCCCGACAGACTCCGCCTCCTCCTCCAGCAACCAATGGGCACGAGCCTAAAGCTGCTGAAGGGGCGGGGCCGGGCGGGGGCGGGGTTTGCTCTTCAGCCCAGCCCTTCAGACTCTGGCTGTGGCAGAGATGGGAGCCATGGGGGTGCCTAGAGGTCTTTTTCTCCCCACACCAGCGCTCACTTGCGTTTTCCTTTCACAGATGCTCACTCTCTTTGCTATGACTTCACTATCCTCCCTAAGGCCAGCCCTGGACAATCCTGGTGTGAGGCTCAAGGCCAGGTCGATGAAAAGACTTTTCTTTCCTATGACTGTGGCAGCCAGGAGGTCAAATCCTTGAGTCTCCTGGGAGAGGAGGTAAAAGGCACGAGGGCCTGGCAGGAACAGATGGAAACACTGAGAGACGTGGGGGACTTTCTCAGACAGCAACTGCTGGACCTTAAACTAGAGAAATACACGGACAGGGGTAAGTGAGAAAGTCCAAGTGCAGGGGAGAGCAGGTTGTGGGGTTAAGTGCGTTGATTGTAATCATGTAAAAAAAAAAAAAAAGGATGGGATTCCCATGTAGCCCAGCAGAAAGGGCAGGCCTTGGAGGAGACAATGGGATAGATACAAAGGGGCCCAGAGGGGTGGACACTGAGGTGGCCGGGGACAAAGGATTTGTCCAGAACAGAGGCTGACCTCTTTCCCATGGTGGGGACAGACCCTCTCCCGCTGCAGGGCAGGATGCTGTGTCAGCGTGAAGCCAATGGACGCACGCGCGCATCCTGGCAGTTCGGCTCCCAAGGACAGACTTTCCTCCTCTTTGACTCGGAGAACAGAACCTGGACTGTGCTTCACCCTAGAGGCAGACAGATGAAAGAGAAGTGGGAGAGTGACAGGGATGTGACAGAGTTCTTCAGGAAGATCTCCATGGGAGACTGCAGGAGCTGGCTTGAAAGTTTCCTGGTGCACTGGGAGAAAATGCTGGAGACAACAGGTACCTGAGAAGAGGAGGAGGAAGGGGCAGCTCTCTGGACACCAGAGCAACACAGCTCACCTTCTGTGTGTGTGTGTGTGTGTGTGTGTGTGTGAAAGGGTGATTCATCCACAGCGAGTTCTTCCTGGGAGAATAAGGGCCATAGGTCGGCTCTACCGCCCTTCCTTTCCCTTCTCACTCCTGGCGTCTCTTCCTCACTGCACATGCCTCTCATCCACTCACCGTGGATTTCTGGCTGACCCCAAACATGAGGGCATCCTTCTGTGTCCAGACCTTTTCTTCTAACTGTTCCCTCTTCTTATCCTCACTATTCTTTTTCATCTCACCTGTTCTATTTCTGGAAATCCTTCAATCCCACTGCAAATGTCAGTTCCTGAGAGCACGACTCTCCCACCACCCTCAGGTGTCACCTCCTCTGTCACAGCAGCAGCGATTGGTTACATTGTAACCCTTGCTTCCCCCATTATCTGGGTGAGCCCCTTGGGGACACGGCCCATCTCCTCTCCCTCCCTACCTCAGGGCCTGTCACAGCAGCTGCCACAAGTAAAGGGCTGGAAAATGTCTGCATTGTAGGATCATCTGGGGCAGCAGGAGCTGAGGAGGAGTCTCCTCAGAGGAGATGTGGAGTCTGGACAGGGGCTGTCACTCTTCCTTTTCCATTTCAGCCTCACCAACCATGGCCCCAGCTACGGCCTCATCCAGGGCCACGGCCGTCATGCCCAGCACCTGGGTCCTCGCGGTGACCATGCTCACCTGCTCTCTTCTCCTTGGCCTCTGAGGCTGAGTCCGTCATGGTAACAGGTACTGAGAGCTGACAGCCTTGTGTGAGGGTTGGGGAAAGGTGGATTCTCAGCCCAACCCCTGCCCCCTTACTGAACTTTCTCATCATGGGAATGTGACCAGGGGAGTAAGTCCTCGTATCGCCCTATAGCAATTGGACAAGTTCAGCTCTGAGTTCTGATCTCCTCACGGGAAGGCGAGTGGGAAAGGGGAGGGGCCCACACTAAGTCTTAGGGCCTGTTGGTGCTAAAGGGGTTTAGCAAAGTCAGGCCTGACTCAGACCACATCCTCTGTTTGGGAGAGTCTCTTTGGGCCCAGTGGGAGGCAGTGTGGGGACAGCAGGCACACAAGTCAGGGGCAGGACTCACATTTGAGTGAGAACCACACAGTGGCTCCATGTGATGTATCTAGGGGAAGAGGACTCATCCAGGAAGCTAAGAGCAGAGGGGCCTGGGTCTAAGCCCAGGAGGAGGTCTGGGAAGGCCTTGCAGCCTCAACTCAGCAGGCTGGAGTGCAGGGCTGCGTGCCCACAGAGGGTGCCGTGGGTCCCAGCAGGTGAGACAGAAGGCGAACAGTAGAGCCTGTGTAGGAGGAGGTCAGGAGGAGGCCCGTCCTCCACGGAACAAGGGGAATCCTGGCTCAGTATGTTGCATCACCTTGCGGCCAGCCTCCTGCAGACCCCAGATCCTGAGCCACTGAGTGGTGCCTCCCTGGAGCAGAGGTGACTCAGGGGATAGGTGTGACTGAGCTGCTATTGATGCCCACAGCTGAGCTAGCCCAGGGATGGATGGGGTGGGGGACAGGGCCAATCACACTGAGAGCTCTGTGTGCTGCCAGCTAAGATGCTGAGAGAGAAGGAAAAGACAGGTATATGCCAGCAACCTTCCCCAAGGCTACAGGTGTCAGGATGCAGGCCCTTCTCTTCCATCAGAGCTCCCACCAGGTCCTTTAGGCCCTCCCATCAGAGGGAGAATCAGGACCTGAGTAAAGGGAGCAGATTGATTCATTACTTGCTATAGTCATGAGCCTCAACTTCTGGTATCAGGACCTGGGGCTGCCCGTGATATGGGAAAGGGAGGAGGTTGATACAAGCTGGTGGAACCAGGGAGTGGGTGGCAGCTGAGGGGAAATACAGGAGCCTCAGTGAGGGTGGCACTGGAGATGGGGAGTGACTGGGGAGCCGACCCAGGAGAACTGACCCAGGATTTCCTGAGCCACTTGGACCAACACTGTTTCCTTTCTGAAGGCTGACGATGCTTCCAAGGAGGCCCGGAGAGTGTGGTCCGTGTCACGACTCTGCTGTTTGGTTGGCCACCTTTGCATTACCAGCTGTTCATTTCTAGACCACCAGGAGCTCAGACCTTACAAATCCAGAGACCACCAGGAGATCATGAAGAGACAGTCCATGCGACATCTCAGGTCCCTCATTGCATTGGGTGATTCTCCTTTTCGGTGCCTTTCCTTAATATATTGTGCCACTTCCTCTTGGTGCTCAGTGACGGAATTCTTGCACTTCAACTTGAACTGCTTGAGCAGGAAACATCAAGAAGGAGAACATGTTCCGTCTTCTTCTTTCGTTTTGGAAAATGACCTTCTTATCTGCATCCTGACCCTGTTCTTGCAAATGATAGTGCCAGAAAAATATTGTGTGAGACTACAGAAACTCAGGGATTCTTTCTCTGTCCTAAGAAACAACCTCTGTCTTTTGCAAAGTACCTTTTTTTTTCAGGAAGATCAGTCCTGAGCTAACATCTGCTGCCAATCCTCCTCTTTTTGCTGAGGAAGACTGGCCCTGAGCTAACATCTGTGCCCATCTTCATGTATTTTATATGTGGGATGCCTACCACAGCATGGCTTGATGAGCGGTGCCGTGTCCACCTGGGATCCGAGCCAGCAAACCCCGGGCCGCCGAAGTGGAACATGCGAACTTAACCGCTACGCCACTGGGCCGGCCCCAGAACAATGTTTTATTTATGATTTTTCTCTTTTGTAACTTACTACCCTACAATCATATTTATATAAACAGTTCTATATTCTAAAAAACTTAATTATTTTGGAGTTTTCTTTTATCACCCAGGAGAGACTTTGTGGCATCGCTATTCCTCCACGTTGCAGGGCACTTACAGCTGGTGATTCTGCTGGATTTTGTGGAAAGAGAGAATTGAAGGATCCCTCTGAAATGAACAAGCAGTCCAGCTGTCAGTCTCCAGCTTATCCTGATGCCCCGGTAGAAACAAATATTCTGGGACTTAAGGAAGGAGGATCTTCCTGATTTCAGCCCAGATCCCCCGCCCCAGCAGTGACTGTCCTGTGATCCCTCCACCCTGGCTCGCCTCCTTCAGTGAGAAGTCCATCTGCACAGCAGAAACAGCTCTACTTCTAAAAGATGTTTTCTTTCCCCTGAGACAGAGGGTCAATATCCAGAATATATAGTGAACTCCTACAAATCCATAAGAATAAGTCTAATTGTCCCAAGATTTGAGAAAGGGTTTTGAGCAGTTCAGAGAAGGTGATATTGAACATATCCCACAGAATCAAGATAACAGAAAAGAACAATGGGCGTCCTCACACCCAGCAAATGGGCAAACTGTGAAATATATCAGGTGGTGGACAGGAAATGGAATAATGGGTGTTTGCTTACATTGTTAGTAGGAGTGTAAAAGGAGTCACTCCTTTGACATGTGTTTCACCAGTGCCCCACAGTGGACGATGTGTTCTTCCTACCACACAGCCATCCCACTGTTGGGTCCAGGCTGGCAAACGTGGACACCAAAGCATGTGGTTGTCTATTGTGGTGGTGTGTGTCATGGCAAAAAAACGCATTAAGATAGCCAACTGAAGTAGGATATATTTTTCAATATGGTGAAAAGATTTCTATTTCTCTCCACTTCAGAGTAGATTATCTTTAATACTATTAAAAATAAAACCACCAGCTGATAGATGCAAAACTTTTAAACCTTTCAAATATATATTTGAAAACTTCCGGTTGACATACAATAGCAGTGGTCACATGAATCTAAAGCTCTCCACGTACATTTAAAAATTGCCCAGATCAATAAAAGGGGCAAATAAAATACCTTAACCCACGTCTTCAGCTGCTCAAGGACATGAAAAATACCTCAACCCATCAGTTCCTTTGACTGGAAAGGACACTACTGCAACAATGTTGACACTTGAATGGAGTCTGAGGAGTAGACAGCAGTCATGTGGTGACCGGAAGTCTATGTCGGTGATTATATTGTGGGGTAGGGGAGCACCCTGGTTTGGAGGAAATACGTACTAAGTATATGGCATCAGAGGACATCACCAAAAGTGGGGGACATCAGTATGACAGCTTAGTATCATATGGTTCAGCAAGAGAGGTGCTCTGCACAGTACTCACAACTTCTGTATCACTTTATGCTTCTATCAAAAGTTTTATTGTTACTGAAAATGAGAATCAAAGAAAAACTTAATTTTCGGAATGTGATGGAAGAAGGTTAAAGCCTCAAGCAATATAACAGAGCTCCTGCCTCCTGGGGTGGCGTGTCCTCCCCGATGTTCCCTTCTCGCCTTCTGTGCTCCAGCCTCCCTCAGCTTCTCCCTCCTCTACCTCAACCGCATGGTCAGCCCAGGCCTTTCTAGACAGAAAAGCAGGTCAGGCCTGGAATAGAAGGTGTGCAAATTCTCTGTTACAGATCCTGACTCTCACTTGGATGCAGGAGCTGGCAGGTACCTGACTCAGAGAAAAGGGCTTGGCGCCTCTTCTGAGATTAGATGCATCCTTTACAGGGGATGTGTGTGTGTCTGTGTCTGTTTGTGTGTGTGTGAGTGTTCCCAATGACTTCTCTGCTTGAAACTCATGACCGCTTAGGGATTTCCCACGTATCCTGTTAGTCACATTTCACCTGCTGAAATCTCTTCTTCTCCAATACCCTAAAGACCAGCCACTCTGGCCCACCTGCTGGTCATCACCATCACGCTTCCAGGCTTTCTGTGCTGGCATAATCCTCTGTCGGGTATTCTGGTACCCACTGGTCAATGCCCTGCGGAACTTGAAAGCTAGACAGAAATACCATCCCCTGTTGTCTTCCTTATCCTCCTGTTTTATTCACGGTTCTCCAGAGACCAGGACCAGATTGATGTGGAGAGAGAGAGAATTATAAAGAATGGGCTCACGTGATTATGGAGGCCATCGAGTCCACAATTTGCTGTGTAGACTAGCTCACTGGACCCTGTGGAGCCAATGGTGCAGGCGAAGTCTGAAGGCAGTCTGCTGGGGATTCCCTCTTCTTTGGGGACCTCAGTCATTTTGTTCTTTCCAAGCCTTTGACTGATTTGACAAGGCCCACCAACATCATGGAGGACAATCTCCTTTACTCCAAGTTTACCGATTCAAATGTTCATCTGATCCAAAACATTCTCCAAGTCAACGGATAAAATTTCCCATCACACATCCCCAGGCTAGATGAGTCATCTCCTCCCCGCTCCTCTGTGTCCTAACAGACGAGTCCACAGTAACACCATCACGCTTGCTGAGAGGGATTTGTAGATTTGTGTCTCCATACCACATGTGGGCAGTGGGAATAGAATGTGTCCCTTTATCAGTTTTGTAAAACAGAGTTTAAGACACATTGTGGCTCAGTCGCTCTGGGATCAATGAATTCCCTGGGGGAACAGGAGCCGAGAGAGGGCTCCCCTCATGCATGGGGCCCACTTTACAGCACAACCATCTGTGGCCAAACCATCCCCAACTCCCTGGCTTTAACCCCATCTCCACTCAGTTCATCACTATGAACACTCTGACTATCGCCAACGGAGAAACCCTCACACATCCTTGTCGTGGTCCTTGTGACGGCAGCAGGTACTGTGGGCAGAAGTGGGTGGGAGGTGGGCATCCAATGGCCCCTGCCTGCTCTGGGGGTCTTTGCCTCCGTGATGAATGGGGAGACCCTGGGTCCCGCTCTGCCCCATCCACTGAGCTTTTACCCCATTAAAAGTGAAAATAGACTAAGACCGCCTACTCAGCACTCCCTTCTCCATGTGGAAAGGATGAGCTCCAAAAGATGAGAAGTCCCCAAGGTCCTGAGGCTGTGGGAGAATGAAGGAGGCATGAAGTAGGGTACAGGGCCTGTCAGCACTTGAGGACAGGGACAGGGGGCAGCAGAAAATTCTGTGAATTCACAGGTATAAAAGAGATTAGAAGGTTTTGGCCTGATTCCCTAGGGTCTCTATGCAGGAGGAGCCTGTGCTGGGTGGTGTGGAAGACTAGAGACCCATAGGGGATGGGCGGGACCCAGGTCTGGGTTGGGCAAGAGCTGGGTGTGTCCAGGTGATCTGTGTCAGAAGAGACTCCCCTGCGTAGGGCGGGGACAGGAGCCTGAGTTTGATCCCAGGTTTTATTCTCCATGCCCACATGAGGCCACCACTACTTGAATGTTGTTGGACAGTGTGAGAATCTAAAGGCCTAGGAGTCTAAGCCACCAAATCCAGACTCAGCAACCCGGTGAGAGGACCCTTCAGAGGGCTCCAGATGGCCCTGGCGCTGCTTTGAAAGCTTGTCAGCTCAGAAAACTTGGAAAGACAAATTCCTGACTCAGTACCTCAAACATTTCCCAGAGAGAAGTTAATTTGGTTATCCAAAGGTCTTGGGCTTCACTGGGATAGAAACTGCTAGAAAATGTGTGGTGAATGAGAGGATGGCTAAGGGCTGTGTTGAGCCCCTTTCCATAGGACAGGAGCGTTCTCGGGAGGGAAAATCTTGGGTCATTTACGGAAAAGCAGGAATG